TTTATCTGGGAAATTTGGCAACTCTCGAATGTACGTACGGCATTCTTCCTTAGCACGGCAGTGTTACGTTCCACGAGGACAAAGGGTCTTTTTGTTAGTTCAAATAGTCAACGCAGCAGCCAATATTATTGGTAAGGTGAATTTTGTTGAGTTCGATGTTGATGGAGAACTTTCTTAAGTAGCGTCCTGCAGAATAAGTTGCAAGCCGGTTTAGACCATTTTGATTTTCGGCAGTTTCGTGTCCTGAACTTAGTGGATCAGAATTTCGAATCACTTTCTTTAAAATTGCGCTTTTGAAACTAATTACTATGCGTTTCACGCCGACCGCACTGTTTTTGACGCAATGCGTGAAGTCTTATTCGTGGAGTCTTGTAGGCGCCATGCGTTTCAGGCTAACCGCTGCTGACCGCACTACGTTTGATGCAATGCGTGAAGTATTCATGGAGTCTTGTAGACCCTAATATGTGCTCCATGCTGGCCAGCGCGCCGAGGGCTTTTCCTTTCCACTTCAAGTCCTCGTCATCATTGCTCTCATTTTGCCGCCATGGGCCGCGGCTCATGTGGCCACCCCCAAATCCGGCCCTGGTAGGGGATCATTCACGCCACGCCATGACCGAGAATCCATCTCCACGTACCGTACCGTACCGTACCGTACCGTACCTACACCTTGTCAAGGAGACTACAAGGAGACCCTGCGCCAGCCGGAGCAGAGACAAGAGACCCTCCACTAGTTTCTTGGCAATGGTTGAAGCTTTTACTTCAGCATTACTTCAGGACTTCAGCATTCTATTATTGACCTACCTCGATGATAGATGTTTAAGAACGCGTCAGCAGTTTCGTTTAGCAAACAAGCCGAAATTTGGAGAACTTGTTCGGCTCATGACGTCACCCGAAGCTCATCATCCACCATGTAGGTAGGTCAACAGCCGAAATAAGAGTGGTGACTGTTGCGCCCTTATAATTGTCCTAAAGAAATTGTTGAGTCCCCAAAAGTATAAACTTCCACCTGTCGCCAAAGGCCTCGATACACGATCAAATTCCCGAACCAATTACCGTCAAAGTGTCGGAAGTCATCAGTCTGAAAATCGTTACTCCGCCCAATTTTCAAATGAAAACCTTGCAGAAATGTTTCGCGTGACAAGAAATGATGAATGGTGGCTCTTCATTCTAAACAAAATTTGACGGCCCGTCCAGTTTCGATCAAAGAGGACCGTTGCATGGTGACCATCAGTCATCAACTGGTTTACTTCGATCGAAATTGCGGGCTGATCATTGAAATTGATAGACAAAGCAATAGACAAAGAAGACTTAGGGAGTATGGACCGATCCTATTGGTTGAAATGTGTGGTTCCCATCGACTAAGGGGGGAAATGATTGACTAATTGTCAGGTCTCTCGTCGGTTGCCGTTAGTTAGTCTATTACCTACGTCCTTTGTCGATTGCAACCATCCGCCTCCAACAGTAGGATCCCTCCATAACTCTTTTTTTTACTTTGTCCATAGCTTTGTCTATCAATTTCAATAATCGGTCCGCAGGTTCGGAATTTGATCGTGTATCGAGACCTCAAGAAGCCAGTGGAGGGTTTCTTGTCTCTGGAGCGGAGCCTTCCTGGTGGCCGAATCGGAGCTGGAAAAACGGCCGATGAATTTCCCAGACGACGCTTGAGCCAGGAGCCGCGGCCAGAGCCAGGCTAGAGGCCTGCTCGGGCCGGGCGATCGGCGATAGCCACTTTCTCTTCCTCGTTTTCTGAGTCTTGGCGCGGTCGGCGCTGCCTCTCGCGGGCACAATCGCAATCGTCGTCGCCGAGTTTCCACCGCTCCCGGTCCCGCTCCGTCTTGCTCCACTCCCGCGCGGCCAACGAAAAAAGGAAAGGGAGCAGAAAACAGCGCTAATCTACCGTCACGCTCCGCCTCTACACTCCCGTACCATGCTGCCGTCTTAAGGAAAAACGCCGTAAGAACATTCGAGAGTTGCCGAATTTCCTCTGATAAAATTTTGATTTTTTAGGAGATTTATGAATATTTCATAGTTGCCACATACAGTCAGGTAAAACCGGGAAATGTCAGGGAAAATTTGTTAAATCACCTTCATTTGCTTTCTAGAATGGGTTTGAGATTTTTAACGGAAAATTTTGCCTGAAAACTATTTTCAAGTATGCCCTCTTAACCACCCGTCACATCTTCAATTGTCAGGAAATTTCACCGAAATGTGTCAGGGAAATGTCAGGGAATTTCATTTTCTAAATTCTGCGGCATTCCTGATATTTTTCCTTGAAATTTTCAGGAGCTTTCAGTGAAACTGCGAACCAAATTATCTAAAACAATTTGAGGGATAATATTTATAAGTTTACCAGGAAAATCGTGTTTTATCCAAGGAAATTTGGCAACGCCTCAAGGTTCGTATGGCGTTCTTCCTTAGCACAACAGCACGGAAGAACGCCGCATGAGCCTTAAGACCTTGTTAAATTTCCTTGGATTAATCACAAATTCTTAGAAAAACTTATGAATATTTTCCGTCGTGTTTCAGAGAATTTTCTTTGTTATTATATCTATATCATCTGGACATTTCAAGGGAAAACATCCATGCCTCTCATCAAAAATAAACATTTTATTGGAGGAAATTTGGCAACTCTGGAATGTTGATACGGCGTTTTTCCTCAGGGCGGTAGTAGACGCTCGAGTCCTTTTATACTGAGAGTCAAGACAATTCGGCTCATGGATGTCACAAACGGGAATAAAGATTACAGAAATTGAACGTTTTTCGTAATCTTTGATCGGCCCATTCTCAAATGCCTTTCTCCGTTCCTCCTCTCATTCCGTTTGTTCCTTGCCGAACCCGTAATTCCCTGGTCCATTCCAGATTATAATCTTTGCAATTGGTGAAAATGTAATCTTTATTCCCGTTTGTGACACTGTGGAGGCCTAAAATACGGGAACCAATCAGAAATGGATTCAAATTGTCTTGACTCTCAGTATAAAGGGACTCTAGTAGACGCCACAGCACTGCATCGGCCGCCACCGTCAACGTCCGAATCTACCGCTTTCCGCAGTGTGAAAAACCCGGTAGTAGAGACAAGAGACTCCACTGGCCTCTTGACGACAGGTGGATGCTTTTACTTTCGGGGAATCAGAATTTCCTTATGGACAATCATAAGGGGGCAAAAGTCATCCACTGGGTGCGTACCCAGTCTCGCTGAAAAGAGATCGCTCATGCATCGAGTTTGCCCGCTTACCCGACTCCCAATCAAACCTATTGTCTAAGTAATAGCGTCCACTTGCGATTCGCCGTCGATTTCGCCGCCTAGGCAACAAGCATACTGGACGATTAATTATCCATCCGAAAGGGTAAATTGTCGCTCCATAAACTATAGATTATGCGTTGACTTATTGACGGGTACCGTTCACTTGCGATTCACCTCAACTATCTCAACCTCGCACGGACAAGGCCTTTCCTTTATAAGAAATGAACGAAACAATTATGGAAGAATAAACATGAATGTGGTTAAATAAGTTTAATTTCCGCCACCGCGCCGACCGCACGGTGTTTGGCGCATTGCGCGAAATATTCCTACAGTCTCGTAGGCACTATGCGTTTCGGCTGCTGATCACACTGTTTTTGACGCAATGCGTGAAGTATTCATGGAGTCTTGTAGGCGCCATGCGTTTCAGGCCAACCGCTGCTGACCGCTCACTGACCGCACTACGTTTGATGCATTGCGTGAAGTATTCATGGAGTCTTGTAGGCGCTAATATGTGCTCCATGCTGACCGGCGCGCGGCGCGCCGAGGGCTTCCTTTTCATATCAAGTCTTCGTCATTCTTGCTCTCTGCGCCGCGCCGCACCAAGCCACCTTGCGTGTTTGATTTCTCTTTCAACTAAACTAACGAAAGGTGCTGTCTCTTGTATCATCGGAAGACGAACAAATTAGAAATTACTATACTATATTACCATCAATTTCCGATCAAATGGTGACTGGTGCGCACCACCTACCATCAAATTTTTGCGGCCTCCAAAAATTTGACCGCCATTTTTGTCATCATTTTGATTGGAAATTGACGGAAATTTGAGCGTGTATCTAGGCCTTTTCAGATACTGAAAAAAAGCAAGCATTCATGAAACTATGTTTTTGCTACCACACTTTTGTAAGTACCCTTTCTCTGGTCGAGGAAGGTCGGTGCCAACACTCACTTGAGTGCCGAACAATGGTTCGATCGTAGCTCCACGAGTACTCAACAATCGCCCGTAGTAGCAAATCCATTACGTTCGCCGACCCGGTGGTCTATTGTTTGACGCGCGGTGGTTTTTTCTCTCTTTCTTTTCTTCATTACATTTCGGCGCAGCCATCCGCAGCTAGCCGCGCTAATGTTCTTACTTGTATCAGAATGCTTGCAGTTGCAGGCGCTTTGGACCAAAATCAGTAATTTTGTGCAAAACAGGACCTGATAAAATTAGAAACAGGAACCGGGATGTATTAAAAAATGAAAAATGACCAGGAAAATCAGGGAATTGATCTTATAAACCGGGAATTTCGTCTATCTTCGCTTTCAGATTAAATATTCAGTACGATTAACGTTTCGTGTTGGCTCATTGTCAGCCTCAAAGAATTAGAAAAATATAGAAAAGTTGATTTTTCCCTCTCAACTTGGAGCTCTCCAACGTACTCGAGGAAGGAAATTTGGGGTAGGGGAGTCAGGGGGCACCCCTAAATATGTACAAAATAAACTGTCTCACCAGGCCCTAAAATCGCTTATGTATACCAAATTTAATACAACATTCAAACAATGATCTTTTTCCAATTTTTTTTGCCTGCCCTCAGGCATATGTGTCCGATCTTAAAATCAGAATAAACATTTTTTTAAACATAAACTTTGGTGCATTGACAAATCTGACGCAAGGCAATTAGTAGTGTTTATTTAGTTCCTAATGTTTTTGTTCTTCAAAATGTACGCAACTATTATTTATTCTCCAATCTTATGATGATTTTCTTTTGTGTGTTTACAGCCTTCTGGTAAAGATGTTGAGGCTAACATGGGAGCTGACTCCCAGCCAGCTGACTTGTTCCTTCTCAAAGCTCAAAGATCCCGAGCCTTGAACACTTTGTTCCTCCTCCTCACCGCCCTTCTGGTCACAAGTATTGGAATCTTCAGTGGAATCCTTGTATACCGTCAGTACACCCAGGTATGCCATGCTAAGTTGGGAATTTTTAACATTTATTATTTTCAGTGATTTTCTAAAAAATCGAAACTCAGAGAAAAGCTTATCTATTTATTCATGGCTCACAGCAAGAGGTTTGTAACTTCACTTTCCGTGTTCCCAGATATAACGCATGAAAATTGCCTGGCAGCCTCAATCTCTTTGCTGTATTATTCGCATTATTTGAAGTTTCGCATTTGCTTAGCGATAGATATCACTAGCGAATTCTTTCACTTCTTTAGGTCCCCTTTTTCAAAGTATATTTAGAGTAAGAATAACACGATTATTCCAAAAATGTTTGTCAGAACTCTCTTGTTCTTAGAAACTGGTAAAGCCATTTATTGCTACATCCATGTCTAATGTAACTCTCTTGGTGTAAACTCAATTGATTTTTGATAACTATCTTTTTATACACTGTCATATCTTGTCCGCTCCAAGCATTTTTGTGTTGATAATTGTTTCGGTGAGTAATGTCGAAAATTTTGTCTTTGAATTATGGAGACGAATGAAGTAAAACAAATGGAAATGGTAAGATAGGTCTTTTATTTAGGAGAGTTACTCAAGTCTTTTTGGTTGTGACAATTAATTTTAATAATATTTTAATTGTCGATTCATTCGCAAAGTTTCCTGCCTCAACTAATTGCAAAGTGGTGGTGGAGATAGGCCTACACAGCATTGACTTTTTGTGGCGGATCAGTTATCACCCTCTAATTTTCTCTCATTCTAGATGAACCGTTACCAGCGCACTCTTTACCTCCCTCGTGAAGGCTCCTCTGACGAGACTCTGCAACAACTTGAATCCTACTACAAGGTATGTAGGCTTCATATTAATTGTGCAAAATATCAAAGGCAAAGTAAAAAAAATGCAAAAGTCCAATGTATCATTTCAAAATCACGGATTATGTCTTATTTTATTGAAAGGAAAAACGAACTAAAATGGCACCCTGAAATTTTTAGCAAAAATTGTTTAACAAGAAAAGAATTTTTTTTTAAAACAAAATGATCTTTGGTTTTTTGCGAAAAAGGTTCAATATGAACTGCGATTTGCAACGCCCTGATTGGAGAAGCGCAGTCTCCTACTTTAGCCATCAATATTCTGTATCATCCTCAAATTTTGCCATCTGCTTGAATATGTGAGATCGTTTATTTTATGTTTGTATAAAGAAGAGGAATTGAGCTTTCACCTTTTAAGACGTATCATATTTCTGAAATCGCCAATTGATCTAAAACTGTATCAAATACCAATAATTTATCCTGCTTGTCCTTTTCTGCTGTTGGGAAAGGAAGAAATATTCAGAGAAAAATGATTAGTCTTTCATGAATATTCTTAAATGACTGAAAGTTTCCATCTACACTTTTTGTATTTTCATTACAGAGAAAACATCATCCTATAAAAACATTAAGCTTATTCGATGGACGCCATATTTTGTGTCAGAACTGCATGCGATATATCGCATCAATTGTTTCCATTTTTTCAGCTACTCGTCATTTTTCTCGAATTTTGAGATCGCAATGCTGTTGTAAGGAGACTAAAGCGCTCACTTACCAATTTTAACAAAGAAATTCAATGTAATAAAGGCGTGGTTTTTTAGAGAGAAAACATTGCATCCGATACTGATATCAAAACTGCACTCGAATGCGATATTTTTTCTCTAAAAAAACCACGCGTTCATTACGTTGAATTTGATTGTAAAAATTGGTAAGTGAGTGCTTTAGTCTCCTGACAACAGAATTGTGATCTCAAAATTTGAGAAAAATGATTAGCAGCTGAAAAAATAGAACCAATCGATGCGATATATCGCATTTCGTCCTGACACAAAATATGGCGTCCATCAAATCACCTTAAAGTAGGACAAAGAGCAAATAATATATTCTCTTCGAACATGAAAATTTTCGAAAAAACTCACCTCTGTTTTACCCTCAATTTTTATTTTCAAGATCGTTAATTTTTCCAATTTTGATTGTTTTTAGGACCGTGGCTTTTTGGATGGATTGAAATCATGGACTTGGGGAAAACCACCTGCAGGTGATCACGTACAAGAAGATTTCGATCTTGATGTTGCAGATGGAAATTACGAAAAGATCACAGTTCCAAGCTTCAGCGGTGGACCAAACACTCGCTTCATCCACGATTTCAATGCTGTAAGTAACCAAGAATCGAAAATGCTTGTTTTCAGCATTAGCTTCAAAGACACTTTTGGCCAAACATAGATTAGATTTAAAATTGGTAATGGTTTAGTGATCGTGGATTTAGTTAATTGTCGTTGTTTTTCAAGACAAGGGTTGGCTCAATGTAAGGTGTAGTTTTTTTTTCTTTAATTTCGAAGTTCCCTGTTTTTACTAACCTACCAAATCAGTGTTCTTACACGGGGAAAGGAGTTTGATGCCTCGAAGTTAAAATTGCATTAGATGGTCTCCTCCATATATTTGCATTGGACGGAAAATTTGGTCAGTATTCCAACTTTTTATTTCCTAGTTCTGAAAAAAAATATTTTCCTCTTTCTTTCAGAATATGACCGGAATCGTTGATTTCATCCAACAAACCTGCTACATCATGCCTCTCAACAGATCTGTCATCATGCAGCCCAAAGATCTCATGGACGCCATCAAGCACATGATCACCGGTGAGAATTCTAAATTTATAGCAAGATATCACTGAAAATCAGTCTTGGAATGTCACATGAACAGAAAGTCAACATAAGCTAATCTTTGAGATTTGAAGACATAGTATGGAGAAGAAACAAAGCTGCAAGTGGCAGCTCTTGCTAGACTTTTATTAAAGTTATAAAAATATTGCTGTACCTTTATAAGTACTCCAAATGATCGTGGAGGAAGCTGCGTAACAGCTGAATCAGCCAATGACAGACAAAAAAATGAGAGTGAGAAAAAGCCTGTCATTTTCAGAGTTGAGAGAAAATATGGGCAAATTTTTATCACATGACTTTGAAGATGGACAAAAGGAATGCAAAAATCGACTTCCAACTTTCCTTTTTTTAAATTTAGAACCAAAAAGTCTTCTGACGTCAGCTGTAAAAGTCCAACATTTCACAAGAAGGTTCCAACCAGTCATCGATCTCTACAAATTAATCAGCTTTTTGTGAACAATTTAGGTTTCCCTGCTTTATCTTTCATCATCAATTTTAGCTATTAATCAATCGTCTTATTACAGGAGATTACACCTTGGAACCAGAGGAGATCCGCGAAAACTGGCGAGTAGTAACCCCTGCCTTGAGTGCTTCAGAAGTTGCTGCCAAGAGCGAGCTCCTATCCAATGAGTGCATAGAATTCAACACCTACAATCTTGAGAAAATTGTCCAAGGAGGTATGTTTCTACTAATTCTTACAATTTATTTAGGTTTTAAGTTTGATTATTCAAATGAAATATCTAGTCGATAAAATCATATCAGGTTGTATCTCATCGAATTTATGCTTCAGGGAGTAAAGGAGAGAAGTCAAACTTCTGTGATTGTGAGGATCAAATTAAAATTTTAGAAATCACCTGGAGTCTTACAGTCCTCAAAAGTTTTAACTTCTTGAAATGCTTGAATGTGTTACTGTTGAAAATTGTGTTAGCTTACTTTGATTTGATTAGCCCACTTTGAAACTGAGTTTTGTTGAAAACGCTCAAGATTTTAATTTTTTTCAAAAATTCAATGTGTTTTTCTTAATAACCAGAATTTCAACTTCTACCAAGGCTTTCTTAAAAATACTGAAAGTCATCCTGTTCTGAAGAACCATTCAAGATGCTAGAATTTGGTTTAGGAGCTTTTAACCAAATTTGTTGATCTCATTTGGTCAAAAATTGTTTATGGCAGTGATTTTTTGGCCGTTTGAAAGAAAAACACTGCAATTTTTCAGTCATCTTTTTCTTTAAGGACACAGCAATATTAGAAATAAAGTTGACAACCTTTTAGCTGTTTAGTACGACTTTTCAAAAGAAGTTTTAATCAACATTGTAGAAGTTTTTGCAGTGTAAAGCTCAGTGTATTCGAAAATTGCCTTTCCGAAATTTTTTCCGTAGAACATCGTAAAATCATAAAAAATATTTGTAAAAATTTGAAAGTGCATGCATTCACTTTCCTCATTTTTCTTAGTGAAATATCAGTAATACTACAAGGTATGTAGGCTTCTGAAATACTGCAATGTAGAAGTTCCCCTCGTGTACCTGGCGCCTCAATCACAGTGTTTTCTAAGGGCATAATAATATATTGCTAAATCCCTCAGTTAATTTACTTATGATTCATATAATTTAACGGATAAAATTACCCTTGTTTTCAGTCTTCAAACGAAGTCTTGACGCAGCAGATGTGCGGCAATTTGATGAAATCATTGGATCCAAGAAATTCTATTTCAACATTCACCAGTAAGCCGTTATTCCAGCCCCGGAAAATTTAACTATTTTTACAAGTTTGTAAATTGAGATGACTGTAATAATGGTACATAAGTGAAGATTGTTGTGTTTACCTATTCGTAATTATTTATGATAAATTTGCCCTAACATTCGCTCATATTGTTGATGAATTCGCACTCTGTACATTTGCATGGGAGGGGGATGACGAGGCTCCTGAAACCTCACTTGAAAATTTAAATCACGCACCACAGCAAATTCCCATGATCCGACAAACTTAATCTCATCAATCTTATTACTGTGTGAAGTTGAAATAATAGGAGAAAAACTTACTTTCTCAAAAGTTTTCCTCGGTGCTCAAGTAGTATCGATTGCCACATCATTGCAATTTTATCAACAGGAATTTATTGCAATGTTATAGCAGTCGAAAATCCTGACATATTGTTTTTTCAGTTAAATAAAATTTCATGCAGATGTCAATTTTTGGCTGTATTATCAGTGAAGAAATGGCAATAATTGTGTTAAAGTCAGGCAAGGCAGCCTCTCTGTCATTCTATCATGGTAAACCAGGAATGAAATTCCAAATTTCCCATCGAAAAATGCTTCTCGGACGATTGATCATGCTAGAAATTTTGGCTCTGAGCTGGCATCCGATTTTCAATGCTTAAATTAGATTTTCAATTCTCAACACTATCCAAAGATTTGGAGTGAGTCCCCCTCTCTTGTAATTATATTTACTCTTACCGATATCTGTACCTTTTCGTATTAGAGTTTTTTCTGCTTGAAATTCAATATGTATATCCGTGTAGGTGTCCATTCGTGGTTAAAGTCTACATATTATTGTCTACTCTTTTTCTGTCTCTTCGAATCTTCAGGAGGATCGAAGAGGCTCATCCAGCAATAAGTTTTTCAGTGAAGATGTTTTGTCGAATTATTTTTAATCAGACATTATTTTATCTATCTTATAAAATTCCATAAGGGATCCATCGAAAGTTTTTTGATTCAAGATATAGTTTTGTTGAATCCTATCAGTTCAAGATGACATTATCTGAGGAGTAAAAGCCAACGGCTCGCTGAAGTTAAGACTCTAATTAAGTCAAATTTATCAATTTGTAAGGGTCAAAGTTAAGTACATGCTTTCAATTGCTCGCTTTGGACTCAAAAATATTTTTTTACCATTCCTACCAGAGTATGTACCAACTAACCCTTCTTCAGGAAACCGTAGAAGTAGTTAGGTTTGAACATTTGCAGAGTAGAGGGACTCAATCTGTTGTGTACATTCGTTGTCTCATTCTTGAGCACTCACTGTAAACCAGTAACTTTATGGGATAGGATAGGAATTGTGATACTTCTATTAATTCTCAAATGATTAAAAATCAATAGCCTTTATCTCTAATCGCCCTCTAATGTTATGAAGTACACTCAGTTTCTCTTTTATATTTGAAACTCAAGTTTTATCACCAGTCTTGATCATTCCATTTTCCAACTTAGTTTTTCGAGACCATTTTAGAGGACATAAAATTTAGTGGAACTCATTTTATCCAGTTCTAACTGCAATCCTTTGAATTTGAGTACCTAATTGACTCCAGGAATTCGTGAATTGTGAAAATTTTCCCACAATATTCACTCAGATTGTAACGTAACTTGATACTCATGATGATAACTCGTAAAATAATCTGTCCACCAATTGCTTTGCGATTCGTATTTTTGTCTGACATGATCGAAGTAATCCTGTCTCCTCAATAGCTTTCTTCATCCACCAAGCACGTAGCATTTACTGTGTTGCCATATTTTAGTTATATTTTTTATTTCTGAGTAAATTTTTGTCAAAAAAGTTTTCCTTTACAAATCTTGACTTTTAAATAGGAATACACGAATAATAATCATTTATTGATCATAAAATAAATTACTCTCTAAGGATCTGATATTTACACCAAATAAACTACATTTATAGTTTTTTTTTCTTCCTGTATTTGTAACTTTGTTACTCGACGTAATCTTTCCAGTGACTGGTAAAGCTTGAAACTAATTTCCAGCAGCAGGCTCTAGATTAAATTTAAATCTGTCTCCTGGTTTGACAAGTATTATTTCATTTTATTTGTCACATAATCATCATTGAACTTCAAAATTGTTATTTTGATCTCCCTAATTGCTTGGATTATTTTTTTGGAATAATTTTTAAGAGGATATGTTTGAAAATGCCCCTTAATCTGGATATTAATGTGGGTTCAAGGATTAAAATCCTTCTTAAAATTTTTGCTCTTTTGGGCCAATTCATCCTTGTTTACTCATCCATTTTTAAACCCTTTTTATGTTTTACAGTCATCTTACCCTTCTTTACTCTGGTCCATGTTTAATTTCATTAATTACCTGAATTTTCTTTTCAACAATTGAATCCGTTTAGTTGTATTTTACTCCCTCATCAGTTTATTTTTTAGCTGAACACCTGTCTCATTGACAATGATTGGTAGTGGATCAATGTACTCAAATTTTATTGTGATCAGTTTTGAACGGTTTTTCATGAAAAAATTATTTTGTATCAAAAAGTAGATGTGCTGTTACAAAAATTATACAATTTCTTTGATTAAAAATTGTCGTTTTGGTTTATTTTAATGTTTCTTAATAGTGGCTAAAATGGGCTGGGTCCATTTGGATGCTTGATTCTTGTGGATTAGCTAAAACTAATAAGATCCGTCAAAACAGCAACTCTCCACGGTCAATGTTAACGGAGATATTGCACTTTAAAAAATTTGTTTAATGATGTTATCTACTGCGGTATTGACACCCTTGGTTTCTTCCACCTTGCTTTCATTTGTCAGGGAGACACGCATTTTCTCTGGTTACTCAACGTGAAACCCGGATGAAAGCAAGGTGGAAGAAACCGAGGGTGTCACTACCTCGGTGGATGATGTCATGAACCGAATTTTTCAAATCGCAATATCTCCGTTAATATTGAATGTAGAAAGTTGCTGTCTGGACAGATCCTATTACTTTTCACTGATCTTCAAGAATCAAGCATCAAAACACGAATCTGTGACCAGCGCAACTGACCTATTGGGCGAACAAGGAGACGTAATAAGAAATATGCTATGATCAATGATAATGATTCCTATTTGCAACTGTCCTTGGAATAAAGACTGTAGGAACTGGAGAATAAGATCATGGTTTGTGCGGCCTTGAGGAAAGTGTAATTTTAAAACAATTTTACAAGGCCTTGAAAGTGCTTGAATTTTACCCTTTACTATCAAATGTCAGCGGTAAAAATTTTGCTTTACGGATATTGGAAAACAATTGATGTTAAATAGATTGTTTGGCAAAACATCTTTTTTACAAATAAAATCACTTTCTTTAAAAAGAATCAATAATTGCGGAACTAGGACATGGAGAGAAAACTGCATTTAAGAAAAAATTAAACGAAAGGTCTTGAAAGGAACTTCATTTTCAATTCTAGAGGCTGAGCAAACCATAAAGAATACGGCTGTTAAATTGTTTCAAGTTGCGTCAAAAATTCATATTAGATATAAGTTCAGATAGAACATTAGATATAACATTCAGTCACCATTATTTCTTTCAGAGTGAGGAAATCATCCATACATGTCGCTCTTTGATCGTGACCATCTACCAAAACTTAAAATACATTTTCATCCAAACCCTTCAGGGATAAGTTACTTGATAAAAGAAACTTAATAGAATTTCTCTGTACTCATAATTTATTCAGGAAATAGTCGCCAAAAAAACAAATAGGTAACAAATTCACTTAACACCTGTGGAACTGGTAAACCATTTTCTTCATTCTTATTGAAAGATATGATACTTCGTTGCCTTATTTTATGTTTGTAGATCTCCATTGAAAAGAGCCTTTTGTCGATATGCAAACAGCTTCTTCACCCATCTGTTAAGCTTGTCTGATTTGTTCTCTAGCAATAACTGTCAACAGAAAATTTGAACAACATATGATCAGACGGAGAGTGAAAAACAAGAAAAAAGGCCATGTAATTAAAAGACAAGGATAGACTTTTCGAGTGGGTAATGAGTTGGACTGCACTGTATTTTCAAAAATCATTATGCAATTGGTTTAAATGAGCACACTTGAAAGTGAACAGCTCGAGAATGACCCCTTTAGGTCCAATAATGGGTTCTCTCTGCATGAAAGAAAAGTCAATTCTTTCTCATGAAGTTACCCTCAGGCGTGCCTTCCTATGAATCGTATTAAGCCCAATTGCACCGTGTTGACTAATTTTCTCTCGTGTTCCATGTTTTTAACAGAGAACTAATCTACTTAACACCTTTAAACTTTCTTTATGAATTGACCCTAGATTATGAAGAAAATACACACTCACAAAATTGATTCAGGGAGAACGAAAACACACCGACTCGGTAACGCGAAAATGCCCAATTTCCATTAAAGACTGTTAATTTACATAAAGGTCATTGAAGTTAGCGCATCTGTTCTAACTTGGACCTTTAAAGTGTCCATAAGTACTTGTTTTTCGGCAGCAAAAATATTTTTCTGGAACTAACTTCTTCACCTACTGTGCAGTTTTGCAGGTGTCTTAATTATTTTCATTTTTCCGAGTTGGTGTGTTTTCGTTCTCACTGATTCAATTACAAACTTCAGTGTTGCATGGTTTTCTGTTTAAATAGTAAAACATCAAAGGAAATTAGGCAACTTCTGAAGTGGGTAGTTAGGCTGATCCCGAATAGATGGATCCAAATCATTCAGTTTGATTATTTTTATGTCTAATTTAGACTGTATGAAGACTCACGAGAAAATGCCCGTCATGCTGGATTCGACAGTGAAACTTCAAAAATGTATACCTTGCTTTTGGTGTTTCTATTCAAAACTCTGCTACTATTTTGCTTATTAAAAGAAGACTCAAACAACATCATGGCTTGAAATTTTCACAGAATATTTCATTAACGGAGAAGAAAAATCACCGAATTTCTCAAGAAATAACGTTTTGTAGTTGTCCATGTAAAAAATGAAGTATGACAAGAGGTCTGCAATGTCACAAACCGAGATACGCTTTTCTGCAGTTTCCTCATCGATATTTACTGCGAGATGTAACACTTTTAGGTTTTACAAAAGTTAACAAGTAGCAAGTTGAATTGCACCAGAGTAAAATCTGTAATAATGTGGATGGATATTGATTAAATATCTTTACAATGAACTTTTGAAGATTAAGAAGATTATATTATTTAAATTGGAAGGAAGAAATTTACGATATTTGGGAGATGGAAATGGGAGCAAACTACATTATTGCTTGAATTTATAATTTCATTTTGAGTGACAGCAATCTGTGATGTTTGGTATTGTTATGATGTTTAATCAGTATCTTTTCAAAGAAAACCTACATTATTAACTTGCATGAATGCTGATCAGCCAAAATGGTTAAGGTGCGATGATATAATGTAACTTCAAAACATCGAACGACTTCAAATTTTTTAACCTCACATCCCTTTCATTAAAAACAACATTTGCTGTTTAATGTGGAGATGCTAAAGGCATATTTTTTGAATTCCTCACAACGGAGAGGCGTCAAAGATGGCACTTACGTTTGGATGAAATATACTATCCGCCATTTCATCATCTTTAGGAGGAGGATTTCCAGCGTAGGTTTTTTCTGTCAAATCAACCATTACAGGGGCTGATTTTTCTTTTAAGGCACTTGGTTGAAAAGCAGTAGGCTTGAAGCCAGAGGAGTTAATTTCATTTAATACATCGCTTTTTGGTGCTGCATCACCTGAAGAAGAGAAAAGCAATTTATTAACAGAACAATTAATCGGATAGACATATCTCACTTTTTCATTCCCACACTTAAAAATAACTGCTGATGAAGTCTTATAATTGGATTAAGCTAGACAAAACCGTCAAATCTACTTACAGTGTTTCAAAATCTCATCTCTCATTTTAATTTTTTGGGAGGAACCCAACAAAAATTTTGTAGACGGAACCCTCATACAGGTAACGAAAATTGCAACAAATTTTTGAGTGGGACTGTTGGTTGGTTTCTTTCCAAAAACTTACAATGAGAGATGAGATTTTAAAACACCACACGTCGATGTGACTGTTTTGCTTAACTCTATCCATTTATCAGTTAGAACAATTGAGCAGTGAGAAGATTGTAAAGTACAAAGCAGACAATGAAAATAACAAGGGTCTGTTAAAACGAAGATACAAATAAGATGTTTTGTAACATTTCAATTGTATCGGCTGGGAATATCAACTGAAACAAAGGAAATCCAAGAAATGAAGCAAAACAGGGTAAATGACAGTGTAAAATCAGAATATATAAAATTTAACCCTCCTCCATAAGATGGATTCAATTGTAAGTATCAAAAACCTAAAAATTGAGGAATTGGGACCATTGTTCAAAAGAGTGCCTTATGTCAGAAATATTGGCACAAAGAGTGCTTAAAATTGTCATACCAAATCAATGTTAGGAGTTAGATATGCGTAGATCAAAAAAGCAGTTTTCAGAAATAAAAAGAGGCTGATTTCCGCTTTTTTTATAAATCTTACAGAAAAATCTTGTACAAGCGGGATCGTTATTCCTGCGAAAAATAGTTTNTGAAAGTAGGGGAAAGAGGAAAAGAGCAAGAAAATAAACGTGGGATTCCCAATCGCTGATAACTGATAAGTCGTGAATGTAGAATCGGTGCGAGAGCTATTATTCTGTGGCCGCTATAGCGGTGCACTAAAGTGTATGGCGGGTTACGGAAAACTATTTTTCGCAGGAATAACGATCCCGCTTGTACATTTTATCATGAAGTATTAAAAAAAATTGTATTCCGCTCATACTGCAGATAATATAAACCCCAATAATTAAACCTGGGCCAAAAGTCAAATTTGATGGACAAAAATGTCTCACAATTTTGTCATTGAAGTTTATCATACATAAAGGAAAAAGAAGAAAACACTCATCTATACTTGTGGTGTTTCACATCTTCTGCTATATGCTCTATATTTTTTTTTCAGTGCCAAAGAGTGCGATGCCATTTCTTGAAAATTTAATTTTTCCCCCTATTGTAAAAAAATTCTGCGATCTGAATACATAAACTTGATACAATTCCTTTTGAAAAAATATAAGGAGAGCAGATATTTTGAAATGCTGCAAACAATATAAAAGTTACTTTAGTTTCCCCAGGAATACATCCTCAAGATTTTGAAAGATTAGCCTTAGCCGTCTTTTATTTCGTCTACAGGATTCTTCGCAGACCGCGGACGATCGGTGATTTTCGTAGATACTTCAGAGAGCCAATCACAGCGAGGTAGGTGTTAACATCGCAGTCCCCTGGAGGGCGCCACTGCATTTTGTTTATGTTTATCTGATTCTGATAATACTGGGTGTGAAGCATCTAATAAAAACTAGATAAAAACTTTCTTGGGAGTGCTCGATAAAAATTTTCGAAAACGAAATAAGATGAGAAATTTGGGCATAAATTCCAACACATTTCAAATGACAACCAATAAATGAATAAAACCGTCATTATTGGATAGTTTTAAAATCCTGAATTGTTTCATCAGATATAAGTATAAGTTCGAAGATCATGAGTCAAAATACAAATAGAGACTAAATAGGATTGACAAATGACAAAATAGAAGGGCACGTGAAGAAGACAGAAGAAGATGATATTGTCGATAGGTTAGGGTTTTGTCCGCGGTCTACGGTCTTCGAACTCCAGACCTCGCAAACGGCCGCGGACCGCAAACGTCTGCAGGTGTCCGCATCCAGGCGAATTCTTGTGTCCGCTTCGCATCCTCGAAATTAAGCCCCGCCCACTCCAAGTCATCTGCAAAATAATAAAAGACGATTGCAGACGACTGCGGACCGCGAAGTGTCCGCTGCAGACGAAATAAAAGACGGCTCTTACCTACTTGAGTTTAACCGACTAACAATCGAAAGGTACTTACTGTATAAATTATCTATGGAGGCAAAAGATTTCTTCTTGAGCGAATCATCTGCATCTGAAATCACTCGCTTCAACCTTTCAACAAGGCTCTCTGGACTCAGACGCTTATCTCTAGGTGACTTCGATGATTTAGAAGATGTAGATGATGATCGAGATGGGGACCGTGACTTCTTCTTTGATTTTTTCTTTTGTTTCTTGTCTTTCCTTCTCGGCGATTTGGATCTGGATCTTGAGTAAGACTTTTTCCGGTACCTTTTGGATCGACTATTACTCCTGGACCTAGATCGATAGCGTTTGGGGGATTTTGAAAGACTTCTAGAGTAAGAACGGCGATACTTTGAGACAGATCGAGATCTGGATCTACGACTTGAAGAGGAAGATCTTGAACGATGAGACCGTTTGGTGTAAGATGATGATCTGGAGCGCTTGTTACGAGACGATCGGTCTCTTGATGTTCTTCGGTCTGATCTGCGGCTGCTTTTAGAGACATCTGAGTGTTTGGATTTGGATCTAGGAAAGATATAACAAAGATGTAATTTCATAAAACAGGTAGAGAGGATTTAAAAGGGGGAAGAATATTTGCAGGTATTTTTTTTCTCTTCAATTTCGGCACAGTAAAATGCCAATGGTGCTGATGATTAATCCTTGAAGGGGTCTTCCACCTCTCCCAATTTCTAGTAAAAAAAGGAAGCTAAACATTTGAGGTGATACCAAAAAATTTAAAAATATTGAATGCTCTGATACATTCAGTTTGAAATTTAAAATTCAAAGCAAATGGTTAATTTATCACAACATTCTAGATCTTTTTATCCTGTTTTAAACTTTGTTAGGTAAATCCCAATTTTTTTAAATAAATGTCTTGTTCTTGAATTACGGACGATTCTAATTGGGGTATTAATTTGCCAAACCTGCAATATAACAGTGACTAAATTGGGAACAAACGTATTTAGATTGCCATGCTTCAAAATCACCACTCCTAGGTATTTTATTCTTGCGAAGATAGAAGAGCCAATTTATTGGCTTGACATTTTCATGGAGAGTTTTCGAAATAAAGAAAGAAAATCAAAGAAGGAAAATATTCATAAATTCTTTTGATAAAAAATTAGAGCATTAATCCCGTATAACACATTGTCTACAAAAGGGAAAACAGAGATTATGTTTTCCGACTTAAACCATCTAAATGCTGCCTCACTTCATTTGATAGTGATCATCATATACTCATATTACTTCAATGAGCTATATTAACTACTAATAAAAATTTTTTAGGTGACCTTGAAGATTTGAACACAATCCGTAAAGAAAAGTAAAACAAGTAAGACTAATGATGAGTGGTAAGTATATACGTCGGTTCCACTGTTAATAGGAGAGGCTGCTATACAGAGAAGTGAAATAAAAAGGGAAGATCACACAATATTCCACCTAGATTTTAACCAAAGGATAGCCAAGTTCCTTCGAATTAAACAATTATTGGATTTTTTTTTTTATTGGCTGATCAATTGGCATCAAAGAGTGTAATTCCTCTACTTCAGATCTCTACGATTCTCTCCGGCTTAATTCTTTGGAACCTACTGAAATTTTTTGGAGCCTATTCATAAGGACAGCTGAGTAGGGGTCTAAAAGTTTCAAAGGAGGAAACTTTTTGCAAAAATCTTATCAAAATCAACGTGCAACACTGCTTGACCACCTCCATGAGAAAGAAAACGTTTTCTTATTTTGAGGAGGGAAAAGGTTAATAAAAACTTAAATAATAGACATACTTGCTCTTATGGTATGAACGAGACTTTGCATGTCTCCTGGAAGAGCTGCGACTATCAGATGATGACGATCTACTGCTGGACCTGTATTATGAGAAAGACCAAAAATATAGTGAATTAATATTTGAAGGCATGAGGCATACCAAAATGAACATAGACAAAGAATGTAAAGTTTGCATTATTTTTTAATGAATGACAAATCAAACATCCTTGAGATAGGTAAGTGCTATAAAATAGACATGACTATGGCTGATGCTCAGGCAATTTAAGACCTGTATTTACTTACTTCTTGCGGATAAATTCATAAGAATAATTTAAATAAAACTCACAGTTAATGCTATGTTGAAATAGAAACCATACGGAGACCCATACGGATCCTGGATTGGCTCTAATTTGAAATTGAGTGAGTAAATGTAAATGAATGAAAATACCTGGAAACCCTACACACAAAATTTTTTCAGTGCATGTGTCTTGCAACATTTTAGGGTAAATATCAAATGATATTATGCAATTTAAAGTGGGAAACAAGATCCGCATCTTCATCTTAGATCTCCAGTTTAACCCTTAGAGAGGGTAGAGTTATACGGTGTGGACACCAGTACATTGTAACGAATGTTGAGTCTCCCATAATTTTTTGATGGTTAAGATTCAACTCATTTTTCTTTGATTTAATTTTGATTTAATAAACAACATTTACATTACATAAGGAAATTAACACACGAATGTTAGTCTCTAACAGAAATATTACCTTCGAGACCTATGCTTCTTTTTGCTGCGCCCTCTATCATAAGAGTCTGAATCACTTGAGTATTTACTCATTATTTAAATTGATCTCTAGACAGTGTAAGGGATGAAGGATGATAGTTTTAAAAATCTAACAAACTTATAAAGATGCAATTTTAAAGAAGAGAATGTCTCGTGACATCTGTTCGAAGATTTACAGGTGACAGGTTTAACATTCAGGGTGAGTTGCGGTTGAAAATAATATTTCAACAAGCTTTTAAGAAAGCTATAGTCTTAAAAAAATCACTAAAAAACAACTGCAATATTGTAAAATGTCAGAATCAATTAAAATTACGGTAACTACACATAAGCTCCACGATAGGAATCGATCCTAACCTCACTTTTTGTCCCAATTGTGTTTGTTTTGTTCATCTTGAAAGTAGTGCAAGCAACCGGTAGACAACCACAAAGCACTATTTCCGCAAATATTTAGACAATTCTTGGAAGAAATGAATAAAATAATATGGTAAAACAGTACTGAGAACATGTCAGCGGTAAAAAAATGGCAATCGGTACATTTTTATGATGCTGTAGTAAAATTTTCCTTTAGCACATTTTAATTCGCCTTCAATTCTGTGTACGGCAATTGTTTCTACAAGCATGTTTTTTTATCGAGACGCAAGACGATCTGACCAAATGAATGAAAAAAGCGGTTAACCTCAAAATCCTCACAACCCAACGAAAACATAACCCCTAAACAAAACAACTAATTTTTGTGATAGCGATTCCAATCGTTTTTCATATTTTTTATTCCGTATCAAAATGTTGTTTTTGTGAGCCTTGTTCATAGTGTCTTTAAATTCTGCGTCGCCTACTGTCCGTTTTAATTTCACCACAATGGACAGAGTGGACATATTTTTCGTAAGTATACAAGTATTACAAGCTGCAATACCAACGTTTTTTCTCCGTTTTCAGTTTATTCAGCGCCCTCATTTTAGCATTGTATTTCATTGTTCAAAGATGCTCCTAAAGAGCATCATTTTTTATCAAAAGTTGATGGATCTCGCACGATCCATTCCAACAATTTTTTATTGGTGGTAACACGCAAGCATCAAACTTATGATATGACAATGCGGACCGTTTCTGTTGAGCATTAGTTCTGGTGCTTAATGTTGACTGGATGCCAATTCATTGGTCTCCACCAAATCACAGGTAGACCAAAAGGTAGGTCTACCCGTCGAGATTGTCTCTCAAATTTGAGCTGTTACGAAGGAGCATGTGGCTTCTAAACTAAACTCCGATACAGCTGAGAATGCGCCTGTCGCAAACTTTCGCTGAAGCAAAAATAAGAGTTGTGTCCATCTGTAAATGTCTCAACGATGAGTGCATCGGCAAAGTTTGAAATGTACTTTTAACTTCACCATCCGCGTAAGAAATTTGCGGTTTTTTGAGCTTCCTCCTTCGAAAACGATACTACCGCACAGATGAACATTTCGTTTGAGAAGTCGTTAACCCTTTCGCAATAGCAATACTCAACTCCCAATATAGCCGACGCTTCTGCGCGCTGAACGCTATTGGGAGCTTAAGCTAGGTCAACCCAAGCAGATCTTCATCCACGTGGAGAAATCATATGTAAACACAATGGCTCGTTAACAAATGGTTAGAATCTCGTCCAGGCATATGTGTGTTGGCGGATTGGTGCCGCCCATGTTAAATATTGTGTAGTATCCCAGTGCACAGGAGTTGGAGAGAATGACACCTCTAATGAAATGTTCACCTATGCCGCAGTATCGTTTTTGAAGCGGGAAGTTCAAAAAACGGCCAATTTCGTACGCAGATTGTGAAGTTAGGAGTGCATTTCAAACATTGCCAAAGCGCTCATCGTGATTTTTAAGACACTTACTGATAGAAACAACTCTTATTTTTGCTCTAGCAAAAGTTTGGAACAGACCCATAGCTGTGTCCATGAAGGACTAGGGCCAGCAAATTGATGAAAGTATTTTTGTTTCTTGGCTCAGTTACCTGAAGCAAATGGTACTCAGGCTCATTTGCCTTTGAGCTATTTATCATTTCTCCCTGAGAAAGTTGATTTTGATATACTCATTCGAACTTCCTCATGTTACATATCTAATCCTCCATTATTCAGAAGTTTAGAGCCTAATAGAACACATGGCTTGTCTAAGAGTGGTCTAGAAGAACCCGAGACCTGGAGATAGCTTTCATATGTTGAAACTGCTTTGGCAGAGTGAACTTGTGTGAGTGTGTAAATTAGCACGGGAATCCATGCGCAGCAAACGAAAATTTGTCGTGAAGTATTTTCTTGGTTTTAGCCTATATCATGTTCTGAGTCTACCATGAGTCTTGAAAAAAAATGTGATCGATAGCCTAATCTGACTTTATAATGTTTTATCCATTTTTACAGAATGAGGAAGACTTACAGTATGAAGAGGAAATCCTTAGAAATCCTTACTCAGTAAAACATTGGTTGAGGTACATTGACCACAAGAAAGAAGGACCTAAGTCATCAATAAATATAATCTATGAAAGGGCTTTAAAAGAGCTGCCTGGGAGGTAAGTCAAGTATCATTTCTAATGAAAGCTAAACTGAAGAAACATTTTGAAGTTTTTTTTTTACTTGAAGTTTTACAAGCAGCGTTCAAGAGTTCATATGCTTTTCTGTTGCTGTAGTTGAAAGATTAGGATCAGATTAACCAGTCAACTTTTCTAGATAGAGTTATTAACTTATCGAGCAAGCACTTAGCAGTATGGCCCTTTAATTATACCTATTTTCTATTCTTGTACTTTAGTATTCATGATGGCTTTTTCTAACATGCACATAAATGCCAAAATGTATTTTCCATTAGCAAGGGTTTTTGTGCCCCTCGTGTCTTTGGTATAAGATAGGATAAGCAAAGTCAACTAAAATCTCAGCAACTTTGCACCTAGATTTTTTTGTAATCTCTGCTAATTTTACAGCAGCCTATGATTTGCCACATGAAATTCACCAAAGACAAAAAATATTTCATAGGCACTGAAAGTGTCAAAACATTTAATTAGTAATCTGATTTTACCTTTTCTTCTTGATACAGCTACAAATTATGGTACAGCTACTTGAAAGTAAGAAGAAAACAAGTGAGGAAACTTTGTATCACAGATCCAGGCTTCAAGGATGTCAATAACTGTTTTGAAAGAGCCCTTGTATTTATGCATAAGGTATCATTTTCCTTTCATTATTATTGCTGTATTCTTACATTATACAGGGTGATCCAAAAGTCCCTTCCACCCCCTCTAACTTTTTACCTAATTGTAGTTCTGAAATGAATACTAACAGGGTATACATGGATGAAATTTATTTTCACTAGCCTTTAAAATTATCTCTCAAAACTGCTTTTTTTAAATTCTATAAGTATAAATTTTATTAGTTTTCCCTCTATTAAGGTAGCTTTACTGAGAATCTTAATTTTTTGGACTGTGTTAGAACTCAATATTTATCAGAGAAGATAATGTTTGATGACATTAATTAATAATACCCACAGGTCTCAAAGAAATTGAAACACAATTAATAACCCAGGTTCTAAATGATTCTCTCAGATTCTTGATGTCTGAATTATCATAAGACGCCAAAAAAATCCAAATGTTTTTCAGAAATATGGAGAAGTTACTAAAGAATACCTCCTTTTGTGTAAAAACTTTATAGTGATTTTCAGTTTCCAAGAAAACGTCTTTTTTCTTCAGATAATTATTTCAAGGATATCGAATAAGATTTTTTTTTTTTTTTTTTTTTTTTTTTTTTTTTTTCATGTTGTACTCATCCATGTCTTAATGGTTTTCTTTTCCCTTTCAGATGCCTAGAATTTGGCTTGATTATTGTGAATTTCTAATTAGTCAGAAACAAATTACTACGACAAGGAGGGTGTTCGATCGAGCTTTGAGAGCATTACCAATTACTCAGCACCATCGAATTTGGCCTCCTTATTTAGAGTTTGTTAAGAGCTACAACATAACCGAAACAGCACTTCGGGTTTTCAGGAGGTATCTAAAGGTATGATACCTTTTTGAAGTTTTTTATTTTGTGCAATCATTTTGCCGCTCTTTTGTGGCATATGTTTTTGTTTTTCTATTTAAGATACCCAAGCTTTTTCCAAAAGTAATGCAACAATGAGCTTGTCAAATAATCTTAATTTTGAGCATTTTTGAAAAGTAAAAAGCATGCACAGTCCGCAAGAATTTTCCTGGATTTCCTTGAATGATATTACTTAACTCTCAAAAAATGAGCGCAAAGTTGCGTTTTTTGAGCTCCCATTTCTATGTGCATTGCCAAGGAAGTCAATATGGTCAGATGCCGTTCAAAAATATTCATCTGGCTACTGGTACACTTTTGCTTCAGCAGAGCCTGTGCTAAAGTTTATGGTCTATGCAGTCGCGCATTGATGCATGGACCATGAATCATGACAGAGGAATCTCACAGACACAAGTGTACCCACTGCCTGGAGGTATATTTTCGAACGCCTTACATAAAGAGTAAAAAAATTATTTTGACACATGTGTCTGCCAAACTGGAACAGATTTGTTAAGAATATCTGAAGCAACATTCCAAGATTAAATCAAACTTTAACATACAGATTTTTTTTTTATTGTGTCATGTCAACCCATGATTTGCATTTGACTCAAAATAAATATGAAAATGGAAAGGAATCTTTTGTCCATGTGTATCTGATGAAATATTGAATGATTTTTAGACTTGAACACTGTGTTATGCTAACAATGGGTTAGTTGGGTTGGTCATAGAATCACTAGTTTCTACGCACAATATTAACAGAGATATCGCCCTTCAAAAAACATGACGTATGATGTCTTCCACCGCAGTGGTACGCATTATGGTTTCTTTCACCTTACATCCATCTTAAACACATATTTGCACTGGTTGTTGGACTGAAAACATGCATGAAATCAAGGTGGAAGAAATCATTGTATGCACCACTGGCAGAAAATGTCATACGCCAAGTTTTTTAATTGCAATTTCTCTATTAATATCAGGCACTAAAAGTTGGTGTTTGAGTAGATTTTATTATTTTTTGCTGATCTATAACATGAAATAATTAAAACATGATTTTTGACTAGCGTAACTGATTAATTCTCATAATTTTTTGAGAATCATTTGCTTGTTCCTAAAATTATTATTTGTTTCAACAGCTTTGTCCTGAAAACACCGAAGACTACATTGATTATCTAATCTCTATAGATAGTTTAGATGAGGCAGCAACCAAACTGGCTGAAATAGTAAATAAGGAAAATTTTGTATCAAAACATGGTAAATCTAATCATCAATTGTGGAATGAGTTGTGTGAACTGATGTCGAAAAATCCTCAGAAAGTCAGGTATGGCAACAAGTTTTCAAATAAATTGATTCTCTTGTAAAATTCCTCCCCTGGAATTTTTTATCTTGTTCAGGAAGTAAGTCTGATGAGCAAGGGCCCCTACTAGGTCTCAAATGTCCTAAACAAGTGCAAGCACTTTATAATTTTCGAGATGGTCTGGCGGCTCATTTGTGATTTGCTCTAGTTGTAGCTGTTATCCTGCGAGTTATGCAGCTTGTCACTCTACGTATTTGTGACGATGAGGTGAGGAGTGCAATGGGGAGGATAAGGGGCTGTATGTATGTATAAGTTGCTGTGAAATTGCACAAGAGGATATCAATAGTAATGGCTATCGTTGTTGAAGAGATGATGGGTTGAAAACGCTGATTACCATTTACTTTGCATTTAATCCAGCTCTCTATTTGTCAATTCTTTCTTTTACCATAATTTTTTTCCTGATTCAACATCAAAATATTCAAATTGTATTCAATTCCAAGTGTTATTTTCAATTGTTTTAGATCTCTAAATGTAGATGCAATCATCCGTGGAGGACTAAGGCGATACACCGATCAATTAGGACATCTATGGAACTCGTTGGCTGATTATTATGTGCGCAGTGGTCTTTTTGAACGAGTAAGTTATATAACCCTAATTTAATTCGAAACACCTTTTTTCTTTACCTACAAAAATGTTACCATACTTCAAAACTTTGGTTAGGATACCTAGGAGGCAAACTTCAATGTTTTTTAACAATTTGTTGGAGTCATTCAAACCATTAATTGAGTCTTCAGTTTTTTCTCTTTCTTTTTCATCAATGATAAAAAACCTGTAGATAGGACCATTTTTGTTGTTTAAGGGTGATGCATAGCCTAATTGGACGTATTTCTGTCAAACGAAACTAAGCCCTATTGGGAGAGGAAGGGGGAGGGAGGCTTGGATTGGCGGCAGAATCGAGCGTCGGGCTTACTCCGTCCTATACTCGCAATGCTTTTCTATGGCGCTTAGTTCCGTTTGACAGAATGCGCTATCCGGCATTCTAATTTCCTCAAAAAGAACTCAAATTGGCGCTTAGTTCTGTTTGACAGAAATACGTCCAATTGCTGTTCAGTCTCAGCACTTATAGAATGGAAAAAATTAATCCACTTTTGTAACAGTAATCATGAATATAGCGATCACACCTACGTTTTGTCAATATGTACCTATCTGAAATATGTATAATGCGCATCTCTTGCGTATAAAAACACAGTAAACGAATAGCCAGCATTTCATCAGGATTTATTTCAAGTCATGTGCTGAGAAAGCTGATCTGAATTTGCAGAGATTGTTCAAACACTTTGCAATCTTTGTTTCATGTCACACCAGGTGCTGCCATCAGAGATTTTTTAAAATAATGTATACCGTTCTCTGTTCTCCCAGTCTGGACTAATTATTATGATATTTACCGAAACCATCCTTTTTCAGGCAAGAGATATTTATGAAGAAGCAATTCAAACTGTGCTGACAGTCCGTGATTTTACACAAGTGTTCGATGCTTATGCTCATTTTGAAGAACTCACTCTGAGTAAAAGGATGGAAGAAATTTCAGAAAAGGAGGAACCTACAGAAGAAGGTATTCAATTTTTGGACTCTTGTTAAACATACACATCCTTGCTGTCAAGATGTGGGTTTCCCACTCAGCAAGTGCAAAAATGCAGAGCTTCATTTTTCTCTTTTCTTTATTCGATCAGAATTTCATGTTTTGGAGCATTTCGTTCAAATTAAAATAATCGATTAAAGGAATGTCAAAAAAAGTTTCTGTTACCGTTTTGCCTCATTACGTTGTCTTGCACAGGAAGGAACTTATCTTGATTACGTTGTTTCAGTATTTCTTACTTGAATTTTATTTGTTTGCAAGAGAACCTCCCCATGAATTTTTTAAAATTTCTAGTGATTTCTCTTTACCCCTCTGAAAAAAGACTCCAAAATTTTCAGACTAATTTGTGTGATAGTTCTCTCATGAAAAATAAATTGTTTGTAGAAATACTGAAACATTGTAGACAAGATACATTCCTTCATCCGGAAAACCATTATACATCCTGTTAGTTGAGGGGTCAAAATGGTCAGAAAATGACAGCTGTAATATATTTTTCTAGATTTTCAGAAGAGAGAAAAGATAAAACGGCAACACACCAATAGATCAAGTATTTTCTCTTTACAGGAGTCTCTTGAAATCAATGCAACAAGATATTTTTAGTGTTGGTCGTATTGTACAGTGAGCTGACTACTGAATTTTTGTGTTTTTGATCGGGTAAGATGAGATGCAGGTGAAGTGGAGGTATTTTATTTATCGATTTCCTTATTCGCTTCCACGGAACTCTCTATTTTGAGCTTATATCTGGCCAAATAAACATGAAGCTCAACAGGTGCTGACGAGGGAATCAACCTATCTTACAGCTCCATTTCATTTTAATTTTGTCGTCTAGTTGGGTCAAGAAACGGAGAATAGCAAACATCTTCCTGCTGAAATACACCTGTAACTTGTATGATCTTATTCTAAAAATATTACCTGTCCTACAGTTAAAAGCCATCTGATTGCCAAAAATTCACAGTTGGTACATATAAAAATTATTAAAATTTTGAAATGCGAACAATAATGCCCCATCAAATTAACATTGTGACGATGCAGTCAACGAAATGTTGTACGGCCAATTGTCAATATTTTTCAAAATATGTAGATAAACGTATTTTAGGAACAAAGAAAAACTCACTGATAAGGTGGCAATTTGAAATATGTTCTTTCCCATTACCTGAAATCCACTTATATTCTTTCTGGGTTGAAGTAAAATGTACTTATCCTGTTTTTCTTGATCATTTCAGAGAATGTAGAAATCGAATTGAAAATGGCGCAGCTGGAATATCTTATTGAAAGGCGGCCTCTTCTCCTCAATTCTGTGCTGCTTCGTCAAAATCCTCACAATGTCCATGAGTGGCATAAAAGAGTCAAATTGTACGAAGGCAACCCTCATCAGGTATTTACATTCAACAACTATTTAAATCAGAATCAGTGTATCTGCATTAAGTGTTGCCTAGTTTCCTTTTTTGTGCAAAAATATTTGTAAAACACTCCTACAAGTCCCTCTACCTTCACCTTAATTCGGAATTTTTTATCAGGAAGATCTAAAATATCTTTCTATGTGGATGGTAAGATTTGTTAATTATCAATAATAAATCAGCACTGGCAGTGATAGCATAATTTTAAATTCATAGTTTTAAAAACAAAGATTTCTTTTTCCAATGATAGTAGCGTTTGTTCAATCATCTTCTCAAGGCATTTCAATTAAAATTTCACTAAAATGTTCCTTTCAGATCATCAACACCTATACAGAAGCAGTTCAGACTGTTGATCCCAAGCTAGCTGTTGGCAAATTGTTCACATTATGGGTCTCATTTGCCAAATTTTATGATGAAAACGGTCAAGTTGATGATGCAAGGCTTATCTTTGAGAAAGCAACCCAAGTTCCGTACACCAAAGTTGATGATTTAGCTTCAGTTTGGTGCGAGTGGTGTGAAATGGAGATCAAACACGAGTAAGTTGCATCAATTTTATTTTTTTATTCAACTTCTTCTTTATTCAAGCTGTGACCATAAGGGCCGGCCCTCCTAAAATCGGACCTGTGCTGTACCAATGATAAGTCCAACTGGACTCAAACCACATCCAGAGTTGCTTTCTGATTGGTCGTAACTTGTGTTGCGCCAAACAGCATAAATTCAAGAAGGATATTGTGTCCTAAATGAGTTTTTGCCCTCTGAAGTGAGAATACTGTGTATAATGCCGAAACATTACGTCACTTCATATGATCAACAACTCGAGTTAGCTGACTTGTGAGTTTTTCCGTAATGCATTTTGTAACTGACAAGATGGCCAGTTTGTCCGAAAGTGAAAACAGAAAAAAATGTAATAGATCAAGAGTAATCTACTCTATCACAGATAACAACCCAAGAGCTTTTCTTACACTTTCATAATTATCATTCAATATTATTGAGAGTCAGATAATGTAAGCACTCTGTTTTGTACTTATTTTGTTCACCTCTTTTCTACCTTGCTCAACAGCCTAAGAACAACAATCCATGCACTCTGTTTTATATTTTCAGAAACTATGATGAGGCTGTAAAATTGATGCAGAGAGCGATAGCAATGCCGGAGCATAAAGTTGCTTACCATGATGAGACTGAAACAGTTCAAAAGCGACTTTATAAATCACTAAAAGTGTGGTCAATGTATGCAGATTTGGAGGAAAGTTTCGGGACCTTCAAGGTATGAATATCATAGAATTTGAGGGGAAAAAAATACTGATGTAAGAAAAGCACTATGTTAACAATTGCATCTTAATCGGAATCCTATCATCCTCTTTCTAGACTGCCGCATGAGGGCATTAACCCTTAAGTCCTATTCTAATTTTCCGAGACCAGTCATCCACAGAATATTTCCCTGTTTTGTTCTGTCTCCCTGTTCAATCTCCTTTAATTTAAAATTGAAAGCATTTCAATCGGGAGGAAACCCAAGGTATAATTTCTTCTAATTTTTTTTTATAATCAAATGCTGCAAGGAGACAATGTCTGTGGAGAGTAGGCGTCGCAGAGCGCCCCAGCGCCCCATAAAAGCGGCTTATACATATACAAATGCTGCAACAACACTTCATGTTCGAAGGTACTGTGGGGAATTAGATGTTTGAAGTTTTAACCAAGAGATAGTATGCTCTACCATCCACGGGTGAATTCGCTTTAAGCAGCAATGCTGTTTGGCAAGCAGACCAATAAAAATCAAATATGATAGAATCAGCATTCTATTTCAAACTTTGTACTAAAACTGAAATAGGGTCTAGGAAACTGAGCAATTCATTGATTTTAGGTGCTTAAATAGGAGAAGAGAATACCTTTGTTTCATTCATCTTTCTATTGAACATCAATGCATTGAGTCTGACAAGAATGACGTAGGCACTAAACCAATCTACGTTCTGATTGCTGGTAATTCCATTATTCTTGATTTATTTTATGTTCTGAATTTAAATCAGAATGTGGTTTAGCATTTCAAAGTGTCTGATGAAGAATTTTCAAAAACTTTGAAATGAAGGAAGCACGTAGTTCCTCAATAGACTGATGTAGTGACTTTGTCATTGGATATTTGTTACATTTGATGGTTCGACACAGAAACAAAAGGACTCTTTTGATATGGATCGCTTTGCCTCAAGGGCAGCACAATTTAATAACAAAATATCGAATCATGCAGCCACCAAATCAGTCTATAGCTATTGTCAGGTAAAATAACAAGAGGAGATGGGGGGGGGGGGGGGGGGGAATCACGGTGAGTCATTGTCTGGTAGGTGAATAGTATTTATTTATCCAATTTAACTATAACTCTCAATCCTCACTCTTTTCCTTAATCTTTTTCAGTCTTGCAAATCTGTCTACGATAGAATAATTGATCTGAAGATTGCAACACCTCAGATCATCATCAACTATGGTGTTTTTCTTGAAGAACATAATTACTATGAAGAGGCTTTCAAGGTAATGTTATCACTCTACCATCTTTACTTACTTAAGTTTCTTCAGTTCTTGCTAATGTGTGTATTCCCCCAATGTCTCTCACTCAAACTTATTCAATCATGATGCAAGAATGAAGAAGCAAATCAAGAAAAAATCTCAGGCTGTTTGAGAGTCTGCGGCATCTGAGAGCTGCAAGTTTCCTTCTCAGGAGTTTTGCTTTTCACCAGATAGTTTCATCTCAGCCCACAGCTCACACTATTGTATTAGTCTAGGACATAAAATTTTATTTGATTAGATGGATTGAAAGTGTTCTTATGTTCTGAGGACTCACTAAATATGTAATTTCTTTTCTTAGCATAAAATTAGTCAATTCAATTTTATATTCACTCCAAATAATTATTCTAATTCTAATTTTTTTAATGGTTTTAGTGTGATTCAGTCTGAATCTAAGCGCATTTAAAAAAATATTTTTAGTTTCTGGAGGCTTTCAAAATTATTTTTGTCTAACTCAAATGCTGAAATTTTTGTTTGTTTCATTTAGGCCTATGAGAAGGGTATCACATTGTTTAAATGGCCAAATGTTTACGATATCTGGAACACATACCTTACCAAATTCCTGAAGCGGTACGGTGGTAAAAAGTTGGAACGAGCGAGAGATCTCTTTGAGCAATGCCTTGAAAGTTGCCCGCAAAAGTTTGCAAAGCGTAAGTTTGGAGATAACCAGTGTATACTTTCCGATTTAGTTATTTTAGTATGTTCTGATTACGTTGAAGCTTATTCGTAGTATCAAGAACCATGGATAATTGAATTGATAATTTTCAAAATGTGTCGTCCACTTTCCAATGCCATTCCGCTGAGACTGTGCAGTTCATTCATTTATTTGCTGACAATCTGAAATAAGTGCTTTCACTTTGCTAGTAAGCAAGCAAGATAAGAAGGCAATGTGATAATTTTACCACAAAAAATGGCTTTCAAGCCTATCGTTAGATTTTTCAGAACATAAAGAAAGTGTTGCCAAATTTTTGCGGCACTGCCAAGGAGATGGCATAGTAAACAAAATAATCAATTAAATTCAAGCTGAATTGCTCCATTGTTTCAAACTAAACAGTAGTGTCTCTGGAATACACACAGTAAATTATAGGTAACCGAAAAGAGTTTCTATCTCATACTTTTATTACAAATGGGTTTTGTTGATAGAAAGTTTTGTTGAAAAGACCTCTCTCTGCTACCAAGCTTGATGGGTCATGAACATATTTCGGTCACCTGTTTGTATCTCCTTTAGGTTTAAATTTAATATTTTCTTCTGCATCAGTAACTATCATGAATTTAGATTAAATTTAAGGTGAAAAACGGACAAAAAGTTCATCAATCAGTTCTCTATTTTTTTATTTTACTGAGCTAACTTTTCTATTTCAGCACTGTATTTACTGTATGCTAAACTTGAAGAGGAACATGGTTTGGCCCGGCACGCAATGGCTGTTTATGACCGAGCAGTAACGGCAGTTTTGCCTGAAGAGCAATTTGAGGTCAGTGTAATTAACTAACATTTATTTTTATCTTTTTTTTGCATGTAACTTTATAAGCTGCAGATCTTTACTTAGTTTTTATCCAAATCAAAATTGCGCAGTTTAGATAAAAGTACATATAATTATGCAATATCAGGTCAATCTGCAGTAATTCTACAATAATGTTCTTGATATCAATTACATCAATTTTATTCTGAAATTTCAATAACAATATTGAAATCCTGATTCTGACAAGATTCTTCAAGAATAAATTTTGATATAGTCATTTCCATAGTGTTCCACTTTAGTTTTGCTCCTATACTGAAGATGAAATTTTTCTACTTTTTTAGTTCATTGTCTGTTCACTGAGGTGTAATTTTTCAGTTATTCTATTGATTTTAATTGATTCTTTCATTTTTTATACAGCTTTTCAACATATACTTAAAGAAAGCAGCAGAAATATATGGCGTTCCCAAAACGAGACAAATTTATGAGAAAGCCATTGAAGTCCTCACCGATGAAAACGCTCGAGAAATGTGCTTAAGATTCGCAGAGATGGAAACCAAATTAGGAGAAATAGACAGAGCAAGATCAATATATGCTCATTGCAGCCAAATCTGTGATCCAAGAGTAAGATTACTGTTTAATATAATTTACATTTTGTATCATCTTAAAACATTGGCTTGTTTGTGTCTGCGTACACGGGTGATACAAAATTTCCTCACCACCAGCACCAGGCATAACCCCCATAACTATTGAACGAATTGAGATACAGACTCGAAATTTTGTTAGTGCTCTTAGGTCAGAGGAAACGACTCTCGAAAACCTCCAACATTCTAGAGGGACCACCCTGATAAAGGGCAAGAACCTTAGGTGTTACACAGGTGGTGCAGGACTTTTTGATCACTCTTTATTTTTTCTTAAATAGAGTGTGAGTGTGTTTTTTTAAAATTGAGAATGAATTCTGTATCTTCATTATCTTTTCGATTCAACTCGAAGAATTTGTCGCGTTTTTTTAAAACAATGTTTTTCATAATTGGCTTTGGCTGTGCATATTTGATTAACTATGCAAAAACTACATCTTGAACCATGCGCAATTGAGGAGTCAGGTGGAAAAACGGTCCAAGTGGGGTCGGCCCGTTTTTATGGAGAACAATCTTTTGGATTATACATGTCATTCTTAGGTGGATAAATTTTCAATTCTTCCTCTAAATTTTTTTTAATTCATTAATTTGCATTGGGGCGTTTTTTATCTCAATACGTTTATAGAACTTTTATCAATGCTTTGATATCAATAACTCCATTTTGCGTCTTAGATGGAAAATTAAAATTAAGACAGTCATTATCGGAATTGGCATTTTGTATGTGGTTGAGGCAGATCAGATGTAATATATTGCTTTTTTAATTTTCAGGTGACAAGTACATTCTGGCAGACGTGGAAAGAATTTGAGGTCCGTCATGGCAACGAAGATACTTTGAGAGAAATGTTGCGTATTAAACGCAGTGTCCAAGCCACTTACAATACTCAGGTATGATTGACACTTTTTTCAGAACTACTGCTGCTTCTTACTCCTAAAGAACACTGTAAAATAGTAAAAGTTTTGCTCATCTTGGGAGTCAATCTTTCAGATGGGAAGTATCTTTATCTCTTAGGACATATACATGTGATGGGTTCTTTACAGCGTGATTTTCGATATATTATTCAAAAAAACTTTTGTTTTTTTGTAAAATGCGTAGACAGTATGAAACTTGATTCAAGAAGGGTGGTAAAAACTTTAGGGTAAAAACCAGTATAGAAAGAAGATTCCAATGTAATCCAAACTTTATCGTTAAATATCTGTACATGCAAACCGAGGAAAATTTTCAAAAAAATAAATTTACAATACATGCAAACAATTTTGGTCTTGTATTTGGCTGAACGAGAGATAATTTGGTCAAAGGAAGTCTGATCAAAGTATGATTCACTCTTAACTGTATAGTTCATGTACAATCTTACCATCCTTATTTTTCTATTACTTGTATAATTTTTCTAATGATTTTGATTGCTTTATCAAAATGACCAAGATTCAGAAGAGAATATTAGATTAGGGGGCAACTTTCTAAGAGGTATGTACTTTTCCTATGATGAAGTGACTCCGTGCTTTTTGCAAGTCTTTGTACAGGAATAAGAATCTTATTTTACGGAGGACATTTTTTCATGAGAGTAATTTTGTCAAATTTCATAAAAAAAAAAATAGAATTTCTGAAGGAAAATGGTATCATCTGTCCCCAAGAATAAGTTGCAATCGGTGTAGGTACTTAACTCTAAACACTAAACAGCTTTCTCTCAGATGTATAACGTTTGATTTTATTTTTAATTTTAAATCATTAAAGTGTCAGTCTGGTTTGACACTTCTAAGCTTTTTTTCTGGCAAAAATTTCTGCAAAAAATTTTTCTAAGCAGCGTTTCAATATTAAGCATCAATGTTCCAGTTTGAGATTTTTCTCTGTCCCTCCAAATTGGTTTGTATCCCTAGCAAATATTGGTCACCAGTGGCAAATTCTTGCATATGGGCCTATTTTCAAAAACCTCAAATTAGGTGCGTTTACAGTGCTTTGTCTGTCTGTTTGATAGTTCCATCCAAATAATCTACTGTTTCCTCGTCTGTGTCACATTTTTTATATAATTTAATCATTTTTAAATTCATTGACTTCAGGTGAACATGATGTCAGCTCAGATGCTGTCTGCAAATACTGCTGCCACTGGCACTGTGGCTGACTTGACTCCTGGCATAAAAGACGGGATGCGCCTGCTGGAAGCAAACGCAGCAGCAGAACCACCGCAGCCGAAAGGAGGCAACATCCTGTTTGTACGTGGAGAAACTCAAGGCGCAGGGGAAGACAGGATTGTCAACCCTGAAGAGATCAAGCTGGACGATGATTACTCAGACGAGGAGGATGAGGAAGAAGAGAAAGAGATGGAGAATATTGATAGGGATGACGATATTGATGATGATGATGATAATTCAGATGAAAATGAAGAGGAGGAGGAAGGTAATGAACAGGATTGAATAATACATTTTATTTTATTGCCGTTTTCATGCTGTTTTTGTGTTCAGATGTGTTGCATTGGGGCTAAGCAGGCTGCTCAAATAAATTGCAAGTTTTTATTATGAAATACTTCTTGGAAGGTGGATTCAAATTTTTGTTATGTTCAATGAAGAAACTAAAGTTTTGGTATTTTAAAAAAATAGACCAACCCAAGGTTCAGGTAAGGACAAGTTCTGCAGGATAAGTTACTGGTACGACAGTAGATCGCAGCACAACCTCGCGTAAGATCCTTGTACAATCAGAAGATCCCACCCTCCCCAACCCCAACTCATCCATCATTTGTTTCTAGAGTAAGGTTAAGCCAACAATTGATAAATAAAATGTTTAGTGGCTGAAGCATTAAAAAATGAAAATAGTTTCAACTTTTCTGAGCCCTTTTCCATTTTCAATGCATTACATTGATTCATTTCAATGCGTTTTCGATGCTGTTTACACATGGGGTAATACAAATTTAAGGCAGATATTCGTCATACCATGGTTTTTTTTTAACATGTCTGACATAAATTACTTGCAAAAATCCTACAGAAGATTGTGCTGCTCACAGGCTTTTACATTGACTCTTACGGAAGTCTATTCGTCCCTGGTTTAAGTGTAACAACTATGTATTTAGAAACGTAAAAATAGAATTTTCTCAATCATAAATCCTTATGGATCTCTCACTAGATTTTTTTCTTTGTTTAAAATTTTGATGTCTTTTTCTTTTTTCAGAACTCCCTATTGAAAAGAAGAATATTCCTTCAGAAGTTTTTGGCAGCTTGGGAAAAGGCGGACAGATTGGAAACTAAGAAAACATAATTAATAATTGATGATTGAAAGAATTTGTGAATATTTCTTTCTTAGTCTAGAGATCTCTTAAATATTGTCTTCAGACTCAATTAAGATGTGTTTAAATCTCCTCCTGTACTTTAGCTCAGATTGTGTAATATATTGTAAATATTAGGGTCCCATATCTAGGAAAGTAAAAAATTAAATTTTGACATTATTTTTACAAAAACTTAAATGCGGAGGTTTTTTTCCCCCTTTATCCTCTCAACCTATAAATAGTCCATCATTCTGACTGAGACCAAAGAAGCCATGAAGAATTTGATCTGAAATAAATAACAAAGGACAACTGGGCTGCATTTTGCAATTTGGAACTATGAGTTCTGGCTCGGTTTAAAAACAACGTATGTGCTGTTAGTTTCCCTATGCGCATAAGTGTTTTTTCATAGTGACATTTCTTAAAAATTAAGGTTCCTATTAGTATCTTCTAATAGAGCAGAGCTCATCTTGAGACATAATCTGCAAGAATTAGTTGAACATGGGAGCTCATTTTGCTGAAATTCGAGTAGTTGGAGTATATAGGTGACCAGTTAAAATCTGATTCTCTCCAAAATATCAAAAGAGTTTCAGGAAGAAATTCCCAGTCAGAGAATTGTAAATCATAACACGCAACTTTGCGTCGATCAGCACCGAGATGAACTTTCTGTATCAGTGCTTGAATTACCTGATAATTCCCAATTCGCCTTCGATATTGTGAGCGGCAATTTCGACTATTAAAATGATATGTGCCAGTTATTACATATTTCACCTTTTTGAAGGCGTTTTTAAATGTAGCCAACGCAATTAATAGAGTTTAGTTCGGAAAACCACACACAGATGTCGTTAGTGAGTGAATCGATGTTTTTGTGTTTTTGTTTATGATGATGTGAGGTTATGTTTACATGAAACCGTAAAAAATGTAAAATTATTTTATTGTGTTGTGTTTTCGGTGTGTGTTTTGTGTGAACTTACAGAAGGATATCCTGGATTCAAGAACGTGCAATGTAAGCGGCGTTGAATGGAGCTCTCAAAAATATGAGCAGTTTCGACATAATTTATGGCAACTTGATGCATGCCTTGGACAAATCAGATCGCATCAGAAGCATCTCGAAAGTCTTCTCGGAATGCAGTTGTGATGAGAAGAGAGTTGAATTGGTATTTAATATATTGCAGGAAAATGTACTCCCGCTGACCATCCATCAAAGAGGTAAAAGTACGGAGGAATCAGTTCGATTGAGGAATGTTGGAAACTCAGCTTTCAAGCAGAAGAAGCTCTCTGCTGCCTTGAAATTATACTCTCAAAGTGTTGCTGTTGCCCCTAATGACAGTGCTGAACTTGCTCTGGCTTATGCGAATAGATCTGCTGTGCTTTTCATGTTAAAATCCTATGAATTGTGTGTCGTTGACATCAACAGGGCAATAGCTTGTAACTATCCGGACCACCTGAAGTACAAATTGTATGAGAGAAAAGCAAAATGCTTTCTGCATAATGGATGTCTTGAACAATCTAAAAGATCTTTCACTGTAAGTCAATCAATAGATTTTTTCTGATAGTATCATAGATTCAGCATCCCAAGCCATTTTTATATGCCATGATAGAGGTGTCGTCACATAAGTTGCCCATCGTTTACTTTCGGTTTGCAGGCATTTTGTGTCACCACTATCCACATGAAAACATCTGTCTCTCGCAGAAGCAAGAATACAAGCTTAGATAAATTTTTATATACTTTCAAACCTTGTAACACTCTAATTTTTAGCCACACAAAAGTCACAACCATATATAAGTCGCGAATCATAACTGATCATAGTTTTTTTACAATACGATCATGAAACGAATGTTTTCAAGGTGGATAGTAGCAAACTCCGCTCTGTGCAGAGGCCTAAATTCGTTGTTTGCGCTTGCAAACCGAAAGTAAACAATGGTCAACTTTTCTGACGACACCTCAAGTACCTCTTCGCTATGAAAATGCAAGCAATGTTTGATTTAAGTGTCAGTTCACTTCTAACACATTGCATGACATGGTCTCATGGGTCCACATATCTCCCAGCACCATGGTGTCGTTGTCGTCCCCCCTTCCCCTCCCCCAATAAACAAAAGTTCAGTCTTGCCTCCTGCTGGGGCCATGCTGGTCGTGAGCTGTTAGCATATACTTAGCTTCAACGAACTGCTGGCTTATGAAAGCGTTTAATGCAAGAGACCGCATCCCAGTCGAAAACAGAATTGTGGTAGGCAAGGTGTCAAGGACAATTGTTGCTGAAAGTCAAATAAAATTGTGCATTCAATTCAAAGAAAAGCACTTTTTTTTAAGGAAAGTCGTCCTGCCAACTGAGTAAAATACGTCAGCTTTACCGGATGTCTCCTCTTTCTTCTATACCAGAAAAGTAAAGGATGCTCAAAGAAAAATAGTAGCATTGAATTTTGATCCTCAAATATAAACAAACTGATTTTCATCTTATCTCAATTTCATGTGTAGAGGTAGACGATTTTATATCTTGCTCTGTTCCTTTGTTAATGACGGAGCTCATTAATTTTTTTTTAGAATTTTTAATTTCATTGCATTTTTTTATATTTTATTCTTTATGTTCTTATGTTAATGTATTAATTTTTTTTTTAGCTTGCATTGAAGAACTTAGAGGTATCCACAGTAAAAGACAAAACGAGGGAAAATCTAGAAAAAAGCTACAATTCTGAACTTGAGTCATGTGTGCTGAAGGCAGGTGGAGAAGAGTCAACAAACAGCAAGACTTGTTTCTCAGCTGATGTTGAAGATGCAAAAGACCCACTATCATGTCAAAATTCTAACTGTCTACCATCCGTGTCGTCACCTGGAAATGCTGTCATCCCATCTGCATCTCGGGCAATCAAACTGGACTACAACAGTGAGGAGGGGCGATACTTGTGTGCCACTGAAGATATACATCCAGGTCGGTTACAAAATTTTTGTCATTAGAAGAAAAACTATTACTCCCCCATTACTTGACTTTCGTTCAATGAGCTAAGACCTGGGCCAAATTCCTCATCTGCCCCCAGAATAAAAGAATAGGGATTTCAAGAATGAAATATGAATTCATCATCAGTATCATGACTCATTTTAGAAACGCAAACTTCGATAAAGCTCTTGGATAGCTCTTGGATATTTCTGACAGCCTTTACTAGAATCTTTGTTAAGTAACACACATCAAATTGCTTAATTTCATCTCATGTTATACTTTTAAAGACAAGAACTGAGCATTGCAATACTTACAAACTTTCTGTGATTTTCTTGCTAATCGCAAAGTATATTCTTCTGAAATTTTGAGACTAAATTTCGCCTGCTGTTCTGTCAGAAAAATAAAGCATGGGAAGATGTGATGTAATCAAGCTAATTCAGATTATAGCATTTTCTAATTTATTTTCTTTATTCAGTTACTTCGACCCTACCTAAATCCTTCATCCGCCTCAAAAAGAGGAGGACCAACATTTCATCAGCAATTCCAAAAATAAAATATGAATACATTGATAAGTAATATAAGATCTCCTCACTCAAAGTGAAAATTCAAATGAGCCCTCTTTAAAAGATTTTAATTATTTTACTGTTTTTAAATCTATTAGGGACCAGACCAGATCTTTCGCTAATGTTTCTGAGAAAAAAAAGATAGGAAATTCCTAGGAAGTCTCTTAATTAAAATATGAATCCATTGTCAATCTCATAGCTCCTCTGAGTAAAAGAAACTTAAAACAGGCTTAAAAGTACATAATACTCTTATCTAATTTTTTCACTGTAGGTACACTGAAAATAACTGTACATTTCTATGTTTTGGTCTCTGGTTTCAGGCGATGTTCTAGTCGTAGAGGAGCCTTACTCTTCTATCTTGCTTCCTGATCAGTACTCCAGTCATTGTTTTGAGTGTTATAAGCGAAATGAAGCTCTAGTCCCTTGCTTAAGTTGTTCATTGGTGAGACTCTGCATTTTTTTGGTTGTAGTAGTTGGAAAAATATGTATGTTCAGGAGGTAAAATTGGATGCTTTCTCCTAACCTTGCAAATTTTGCGATTTGACAAGTATAAAATTTTGGTGGCTCATTTATGGTCAGCATCAGATTTTTTCTTCCCTAATCACTAAAACCCATGCCAACATTTGTTTACTTCATCTTACCTCAATTTTCCAAATTACCAGCCTTGGAAAACCTTCTCTTGTGACTGTATAATCAGATCCCCGGGACATGCAGGTCATACTGCAAATGCTGTAATCTGTACACCAGAAGAGACCGACATTCTTTACAATCAATGAATGAAACAAAAATTTAATCCTGGCTGATGATAAACAGTTTGAGATACTTTTCCTGGAATTTTTCAAATAATCTAAGTAATAATTTTCGAGAAAATAGTGTCTGTGAGTTTTCTCAATATTCCCTGAATAATCTTCCAATGCAATTTATTTAAAAATAATTTTGAACCTCTCTTTGCTGGCTGTTTGTAAGTTGGTACTTTTCTATATGTCGATGGCTGAAGTGCGAAACCATGTATCTCCGGTTGCGACGTTGTAGACTTCCTATAATTCAACGTAATTTCTTGGAAACTGTCTCAAGTTTTCTTCTCTGTCAGTAGAATATTATGTGTAAATCTCAAGGTATAAAGTTGGCTTGTTTTTCTTTGAAAAAAAAGTAGGAGCGTAAATTTTGAAACACTGCAATGCAATACATGGTTTTGCACTTTAGCCATCGATGTGTAGTTGCATTTTGGAATGCGATGGCTAAAGGAAAGCAATGTCAGTTTCTTTAGATTCCATTAAATTTACTGTAACATTCCAAACAAACCGGGAAAAATACCGTTAAAAGCACAGTGCTCTCTATCTGTAGGGGTCCTCACCGTAACGTAAATCTTTCCCTAATGGATAAATCCATTGGTCTTCTCGTATACTTAACTATATACATGTTTTTTTTCTATGTCTGTTGTATTTTCAATCCAATCTAAAGAGGGGGAGAAGAGAGAGAGGGAGTACTGAATTTTTCAAAGATTAAGCTTGGCTTCTCTAAACAAAAGTGTACTTGTAATTCTGCAAGCTGTTCAGTTTGTGTGTAAGATATTAGTCAAGAAAGTTAGAGGAGTCAAAACAATTTATTGCCCATTGGTCTTGTCTCTTAATTATACATTTGTTTATTAATGACCAAATTGAAGTATATTTAGGAATAAAATTGAAATTGGAAGGATTTTGACCAAGACCAAGGCCCTAGAAGAGATAAGGTAGTTAATTAGTATGATACATACCAAAATTAACCAAGTCCAAAGCGTTTCGTGCACGCTGTCGCACATTGTCAGGGAAAGAAAATTAAAGAAACATAACTAAACTAAAAGATAAGATAAAATTGAAGGTAATACTAATGACCGAATTTTTTTCAACAGGTCATGTACTGCTCTGAAAAGTGTCGCAATCGAAATTGGGAAAAGTGTCATAAAATAGAATGCAAAATTCTCCCGACGTTGCTGGACCTTGAGTTCAACAAGATGGAACTCTTAGCTCTGCGAATATTGTTGGTAGCCTCGAGACAAGGCTTAGAAATAAACTTGCTACGAGATTATGTTGAATCGTTTTCCCATCAGGAGTCTGATGTGATAAAAGGGCTCAATTCTAGCGGTCAATATATCTCCAGTGATTACTGTTCGATGCACCATTTGGAAACAAATAGTCACCGTCGAAGCCTAGCTGATTTGTTCCGTCGATGCACAGTTGCGACTGTCTTCATTTACTTGTTGGGAAGGATTGATTTTTTTGAGTCCGAGTTGTCCAGCAAAATTGAAAATGTAAGTTGTGACTGTCAAAGATTTCAAAATATTCAATATTGGAAACCTTAACTCATTTTAAATCTCATGTAAATCTTGTTTCCTGTATAATCCAGTGAATAAGATGTACCATTACTCTTGTATCACTAAACTTGAACAGGGTTTCACGTACATGTATTTAAAATATTTAAAGATGAAAATTTCATGAATTCGATTTTAATGCCAGCAAAATCTCAATGGTGTTTTCCATCAGCAATAATTTGAACTCAATTTGACACTTATTCTTAAATCATAGTGGATCCCTAGACAGAGATAGAAATTAAACTCTATAATACATTTTTCCTCCTATAAATTCCATGTGTAACATGCTAAACACACCAGATTTTTTCAAGTACATCTCATCAATGAAAAATAGGAATTTTGTACCCAGTAATCTTCAGATTCTGCTCGCTTAAAAACCGAAGTTTATTTGAATCGAATCTGTCTCAGAGTTCACTTTGGCGGGTTTCACATAAAAATATTTCTTTCTGTGTTCTGATTTTTTTTTTTTAAAAAATTAGAGTTACCAGATACCAAAGTAGAGGAGAAATTAGCGTGAAATCAACCTCGCATTATCTTATTTCCCGAGCGTTCCAAAGTTTTCAATGACTGGTTCAACCTACATTGACTCAGATTTTTTACAAGCAGGAAGTTTTTTACTGATTCTAATATGATTTACAATTATGCTAGTCTTCAGTTTTAGACTTACAATTAGTCCACAAAATTTTCATTTGAAAACTTGTAATCATGGTCTACTGGTTAATCAATTTTCATCGCAATTTTTTCCAATAAAAATACGTCTAGAGAACTTAAGTCTGAAGCCTAGCAATCCAACTGTAATGTAGTAGGTAAAAAATAAACATATTTGGGCACAGATCAACATAAAGGTGTATTAACAAGTAAAACATGAGTATAGCATTGATTTAGATATATTTTATCACCTTTGGCGGCTTGTGAAGGCATGCATGGAATTAAAAGATTATACTTTTCCCTGGAACTCCCCCCCCCCCTTCATGTTTAATTTACTGCAAAATATTTAAAATTTTCTGTTGCATATTTTCAGGGTTTTGTCGGATCATTTGAGATGCAGCCTCACCTGTCAGGGGCAGAGCTTTTCTGTGGTGCATTGCTGATGAAATATTTGCAGTGTTTACCATGCAATGCGCACGAAGTGTCTGAGATGCTGTTTTCAAAGTGTGCTGATAGTCACATGGTATATGACAGTCTAGAAATTGGTGCTGTTGCTTACCCTGTTCTGAGCCTAATCAATCATTCATGTGATCCAAACGTTGTTCGGCACAGTTACAACGGAGACACAGTCGTCCTCAGGGCAATCCAAGTCATACATGCTGGTGATCAGGTAAGCCTTTTGTTTCTATTTTTGTGATTGAATTATACATAAGCGCAGACGCAGATCATTTCACGAATCTAGTTGGTCATTAGACCAGAACATTTTTTTGGGCAAATTTGTGGTTAAATAGATTTTTACTTGATTACCAAGGTTCTCCTCTATTATTATTTACATTTAGAATAATAAGTAGTAATTTTACCTCCTACGTAATTCTTTATCTCTTTTTTTTTAGTTGTACGATAATTATGGTTACCACCATGCACTGCATTCGCGAGAAGAAAGGCAGAAGCATCTACTTGAACAGTATTACTTCCAGTGTCAGTGTTTAGCATGTCTGGAGGATTGGCCGCGTTATGGTGACTTGGCATCCACAAATCCTGTATATCTAACTAGGTAAGTGTCTAATATTTATCCTTTCACTCCTCATTGAAGACGTATTTTAATTGGACGACACACTCAGCACTGTCAGAGAGAGAGATTCATTCACTGAAAGACGGAAAACTGTTTGTATGCTTTTATAGCTTTTGATAACACAATTTTGGGCTGAAAATTTAAATTAAATGATACCAGTCTTTTCTAAAAGGGGAGGGGGTCTAGTAAATTGAAAACCACTATCTAAAAATTGTTTATGCTCTTCGATGCAAAACATTCACTGTAAATACACCCTGATGTGTTCATATGGCCTTACAGTACTACCTACGTGAGACTTTCGCTGTCATCATTCTTTTTTATCAAGTTTTTTACGAGAACGATTGTAGCATTTGATTCAATTCTTTATGTTCCAGGGATACTGAACTCCTGAAAAAAGTTTCTGTATCATCGAAAGTATTTCAAAGTATTTTGGAGAAAGTACTTGAGATGAAAACCAATGGACACCTAGATTTCCTCTACAAACACTTAGCCCTGTTGCAGCAGACCATCCAAAGACCATGGAAGGAGTTCAGCGAGTGTCAGGAAACAGTGAAACAGTGCCTTAGCATGGAAGCCAATCATTATATCTTTGAGAATCAATCTTGAATTCAGTAGTACCCAGAGTTGCCTTCTTTTCTCTAGTATTTTTCATTTTCTCAGGGCTTCTTTCAAAGAAAACTTTTCAAGGGAAAGCTCAGCCAAATGCAAAGCAAACTGAATGATCAAAAAGCATTAGATTTTACGCAAAAGACACAATTGAATCAATTTCTTGTAAGAAATCATTAGTCTTTATTAAGTCAGCTGTAATCTTGAGGACAGTTGCGTCTACGAAAATTTGCAACGGTGAAGGACAAGGTCCTAGTGAACTTGCAATGATGACTCATAGTATACGTATTTCAGAAGCCTATTTTTTGTTTTCAATTAAATCTTCTATTTTTTGTTTTTATTAACTTATTTCAATTGACAGTAGTTATACTAGTTGATTTTTATCTGTGATTTTCAATGTCACTGGATTGTTTTTATTATTAAATTGTTTTTAAATTAATATCTTTTATGGTTCTTTTTTCACGTTAAAACATGGGAGAGTTGTTGCTCATTCAACCATAATTTGTAATTTCTTTCCTTTTGTAAGCATAGCATTCGTTCAAACCTCTAAGCCTAGGCTTTAGAAGTAAAATTTTAAGACCTTTTGCAACATTAATGAGTTTATAAACTTACTCTCTCCCCCACTCTTTGAAGTATATTTGAAACCGAAAATCTGAATCAAAAAATTTGTGTCAACAGAGACAAGGAGCTGAATAAAATCTTCTGAGCAAAAATCATTCAAATATAAGTTAAGTAAAGCTTCTTGCTCCCCTCCAGTAAAAAAAATACCTTCAAAGTAAATATTTTCTGATTTTAAGAAAATGATTAAATTTTAAAGATGACATCAGGTATTATGGATGGCTCACAGGAATTCCAAAGTACAAATGGAGCTTCAACCTGTCTTTTGTAGCACCACTTATTTGGTCTCCCACATAGATTCCTATTCATTTATTTTATTTTTTTGGGCAGAATTAGGTCCTTCTGAAACATGATTTCTCGAAAATCATCTTTATTCCGATTTTATCAAGAATTTCGTTCACTCCATTGATGCACCTCTAATGGTAGTAGCAATGATTCCAATGAATTAAGATCACGCATCAAGTTTCATTTATTCATAAAACTTGGGTAATGTTAAATGTGAAGTTTAACGTGCTTTCCTAGTGCTATTTTCGAAATACGCGCTTTGAAATTTTCATAGTAAATGCAACTTTTCTACTGATCTTGATCCACTTTTTATTTATTTGTACATTGAATCGGTGTTGATCGGTTCACGTTTTTATTTTTTGTTCAAATCAAGTCGATCGAATACATGCCCTCTCTTTACACGCACACTTCCTTTCATACTCCTTTTTTTAACCGAAAAATTCGCCTTCTGCTGCGTCTGCGGCAATTGTTGTTACGAGTATGCGGTGCGTGCTGGTTTCAGGTAGTTACATACTCGACTCTTTGAAGGCGTTTTGTGTGCGAGAGCAATTCGCCAGTTCTCCAACAGGGTACGCCACTTGCGCACATAAAACGCCTTCAGAGAGCCGAGTATGTAATGACCTGAAACCAACACGCACAACATATTCGTAACAACAATTGCTGCAGACGCAGCTGAAGGCGAATTGCTCTCGCACATAAAACGCTTTCAGAGATTCGTGTATGTAATGACCTGAAACCAGCACGCACAACATATTCGTAACAACAATTGCCGCAGACGCAGCTGAAGACGAATTTTTCAGTTAAAAAAAAAGGGTATGAAAGGAAGTGTGCGTGTAACGAGAGGGTATGTATGATCGACATGAATCGAACGAAAAATGAAAACGTTAACCGATCAACACCGATTCAATGTACAAAAAAATAAAAAATCGGATCAAAATCAGTGGAAAAGTTGCATTTACTATGAAAATCTCAAATCGCGTAATTCGAAAAAAGGATCAGTCAAGATTTTGATTTTTAGCAATTTTACGTGTGCACGTACCATAGACTCGCCCCCTGCAAACCATTTTTGGATGCAATTTTGTCGCTTTTTTTTTATCTTTTAGATAAAAAATCTCGGCAGATTTTGAATTTTCAGCAAAAAAAAGGACGATAGCCCCCGCGCATGAGTCTAAAGAATCATTCTAAACCCAAAAATCGGCAAAATTAAGAGAAATGAAAACAGAATAGTGTTTGGAAAAAAACCTCACATTCGATACAGAAATCGGTCAAGGGTCAATTCCAAGCGAGCTTACTTGGTTCCGACCCTATCGGCGAAATTTCCATTTTGACCCGCGAAATTTAGTCCATGTTATCCGTGTCGATTTTTCTCGATTTGGGACGGAGAAAAATATTCGAGATTTCAGTCGCATCCTACGTTGCTGGAAGTAGAGAATCGATTCAGCACGGTCCCGACTCTCGGCGAGGCTCTCTGAGCTAAGAAACAGTCAAAAATTGGTCCAAAACTAGCTTTTCTGACCACTTTGTGTCTCTTTCTTCGGAGCGTTTTCAGCGGATAACTCGTAGCGAGGGACTCGAGGAGCTTTCCCGACTGGAAAATCCCACTCAGCGGGTCAATTTCAAGCGAGCTTACTTGGTTCCGACCCGATCGGCGAACTATCGATTTTGACGCTAATAATTTAAAAAACGAGCATTTCTGACTCCTTTTTGAATCTTTCAGTGGAGCGTTTTCAGCGGATAGCTCGAAGCGAGGGAGTCACGGACCTTTTCCGACTCGAAAATCGCACTCAGCGGGTCAATTCCAAGTTACCTTACTTGGTGTCGATCCGATTAGCGAACTTTTAATTTTGTCCAGCCGAGAACCAGTCAAAAACAGGTAAAAAACGAGCATTTCTGACCGCTTTTTGTCTCTTTCTTCGGAGCGTTTTCAGCGGATAACTCGTAGCGAGGGACTCGCGGAGCTTTCCGGACTCGAAAATTGCACTCAGCGGGTCAATTCCAAGCGAGCTTACTTGGTTCCGACCCGATCGGCAAACTTTTGATTTTGACGCTAAAAATTTAGTCCATGTAACCCCTGTCGATTTTTCCCGTTTTGGGACTGAGAAAAACATTGCAAGATTTCAGTCGCATCCTATGAAGTTGGAGGCGTAGAATCGATTCCGCACAGTCTTGGTTCTCTGCGAGCCTTCCTTAGCCGAAATACAGTCAAAAACGAGCTTTTCTGACCAATTTTTGACTCTTTGTCTAGAGCGTTTTCAGCGGACAGCCCGAAGCGAGGGACTCGCGGAGCTTTTCAGACTGGAGAATCGCCCTTAGCTGGTCAATTTCAAGCGAGCTTCCTTGGTTTCAGCCTGATCGGCAAACTTTCGATTTCGACCCCGAAAATTTAGTCCGTGGTTCGTACCCCTGTAGATTTTTCTCGATTTGGGACTGAGAAAAAAATTTCGAGATTTCAGTCGCATCCTATGTAGTTGGAGGCGTAGAATCGATTCCGCACAGTCTTGGCTCTCTGCGAGGCTTCCTGAGCCAAAGAACAGTCAAAAAGTGGTCAAAAACGAGCTTTTCTGACCACTTTTTCCCTGTTTCTCTGGAGCGTTTTCAGCGGATAGCTCAAAGTGAGGGACTCGCGGAGCTTTTCCGACTCGAAAATCGAACTCAGCGGGTCAATTCCAAGCGAGCTCAGATCCAAAGGAGTCAACGTCACGAGATAATCGATAGGCTTGGAGGACAAGGCGCACATGGCGCACAAGTGCAGTTTCTCCTATTTCGAGAAATACGTGTTTGAAGTTTCGAAATTATACATGGATCCTTATGGCGGAATAAAAGTTCAAACTGACATTTTGATGCTTAAAAATTGGAATTTGGGAGCGAATTTTTCGCGGCATATGCATCAAGACTAGTTTTACTTGGAATTAAAACCGGCGTCACATGGACTAAATTTTTAGCGTCAAAATCGAAAGTTCGCCGATCGAGCCGAAAGCAAGCTTGGCCGCTTGGAAATGACCCGCTGAGTGCGATTTTCCAGTCGGAAAAGCTCCGCGAGTCCCTCCCTTTGAGCTATCCGCTGAAAATGCTTCAGAGAAAGAGTCAAAAATTGGTCTGAAAAGCTCGTTTTTGACCAGTTTTTGACTGTTTCTCAGCTCAGGAAGTCAGGCCGAGAGTCGAGACCGTGCGGAATCAATTCTACGCCTCCAAATACATAGGATGCGACTGATACCTCGAATTTTTTTTCTCACTCCAAAATCGAGGAAATTGATGCTACCGTGTAGGAGTGCTGTGTATGTTGCCTATCCACAAATTGAAGGGGTCTCTCTTTTTTATCGCAATAAAATTGAAATCAGTAGCAATCTTTCTTAGTATTTCAAATTACCTATGTTTCTCATACATATAAATACAAGTAGAAATCATTTCGAGTTTTGATTTATTTAAATTTGCCTTTAACGGTCAAATCGTGTAGAAATATTACAATCTAATGGCAAAAAAGTCGGCTATTTTATCGTATTACTTTTCACATTATTTCAATATTTTCGTCATGAGTGCTACTTGGGAAGCACACTCATTTGCTTTTAGTCTTTAGTCACACCTGGAATTTTTTGTCTCGTAGCTTGCGTTACTACAGTAAATGTCGCAATCTTCTTTTGAAAGGCGCTTTCTTCCACGGCGGGTACCATTCGCAAAAAATTCATAAAATATAAGTTTTTCTTGAGGATACACTTCAGGGAAAACTGCTCTGTACTCACTCAGTAAAAATGGAAACAGGATCAGTTTGACGCCTTATTGATTGTCCATGACTGAATATTTCGTTCTTAGTCTCCCTCAAAGATTTATAGACAAACCGATCAAATATTCAGGAATCCTCCTCTTTTTTAAAGGATCGAAATAATTACACTCTCTTTCGGACCACGAGATTAATTCGACGGTTTCGGATCTCTTTCTTCATTGAAGAAAATCGACAGGGAGTACTTAAAAGAAAAGTATCAAAATCGAAAGTTCTCCAAATATCTATGCTGCCGTGCTAAGGAAAAACATCGTATGAGCCTTCAGGCGTTGCCAAATTTCCTTTGATAAAACACGAATTTCCCTGTAAACTTATGAATATTTTCCTTCCAATTTTTTAGAAATTTTTGTTCGCAATTTCATCTAAAGTTTCTGAAAATTCAAGGAAAAATATCCTTAACTTTCTTAAAAAATAAACATTTTTTCGAAAAAAATTTGGCGACTATAGAATGTTCATACGGCGCTCTTCCTTAGCACGGTAGTAGGCTAGTTTCAAGTTTGACTTTTGTAAAACGACCCGAGAAGGGTTTTTCGATCTAAAAAGCTCCAAGAGTCCAATATTTCAGAGAATGAGGATTCCGGGTGCATTCCTAAAAATTGTCAAAAACACACGTTTCTCAGCTCAGGGAAATCATGGACTCCTGCGGACTGATTGTTGAAAGTGATGGGCAAAGCAATAGACAAAAAAGTTATAGGGATCCTATTTGTTAAAATGGGTGGTTTTTATAGATTAAGGGACTAAATGATAAACTAACTATAGGGTCTCTCTAACTACAATATTTTTGGCTAAGATGTAAAATGTCAATTTCCACGACCGAATTATTCACCCGAAAATGTTTATGAGGATTTTTGGTAATTCATTTTCATTAACCCTTAGATGTCGAAGCCGGGTCACATCGACCCGAGACTTCCAAAAGAAAAAACGTGCTCCGCAGTGGCGTAACGGACTTCCGCTGGGCCCCCCTGCAAAATTTTTTCTAGGGCCCCCCCATGTCGATAAAATTCCAAAATCATCCCCCCTCCCGCCCCTCTACTTCCCTCACCCCTTCCCGTTTTTTGGCCCGAGACATTTCAAATCACGGACTTGGACTTGGAATGCCTCTCCCCTCACCGTCCCGGATTCCGTACCTGATTAAATGGGGCCCCTAAAGGATCAAGGATCTAAAGGGTGGTGGGGGCCCAGCCCAGGCCTAAGGCTCTACAGCGGGGCCTATGCAGGCCCAAGAATCGAAGGGCCCCCAAGGGCCTTGTGGCCCCTTGTGGGCCCGCAATACCTACGAAAAGTGACAAAAATGAGAAAATTTTTAGTAATCACTGAGTGGACATTAGAGGGCAGGGGCCCTCCAGCAAAAAAAAGTTAGGAACAGTCCAAAGAAGTATGAAAAACCCTGAGCTAACAATAAAAATCGGAGGAAGAAGTCCCATCTCGGTAAGTAAAGGAAGGCCCAAAGTTTGAAACCAAAGCTAAGCATCAGAGAGAGAGAGAAAAAAAATTCCGGCGGCCGAAGGCCCCCTAGGCGCTTGGGCCCCCCTGCATAGCAGGGTCTGCGGGGGCGCCCGTTACGCCACTGTGCTCCGCGGATTGTATGGATGAGCCGGTTTTCACGAGCTTTAGATTTGGGTCTGCAAATCCACATTAAAAAAGAATCAGACATGAACCTAAAAGGAGAAGAAAGAATCGGTACCAACAAAGCCGAAGATAGGAGAAACGTAATCGGGCCTCGTTTTTAAAAGTTCTCCCGAATCTGAGCAAATCCTCAGTGGCAGGATAGAGCGGAGCGCTGTGATTTTACGCCTCACGCCATGGCGCCTTCAATTAGGAAGATACATCACGTACATCCATCAAATACGAATAGTTGTATCTCTGCGCCGTCATGAACGCGCGTCCATTCTCCTGATCTATTTCTATGTCATGTTTGTTTCCGTTTGTCTGATTCATAGCAGTGCTTTAAGGGCTGCGTGAGAAACACAGCCGAAGAAAGGAGAGACGTAATATGGCCGTTTTTACAATTTCTCCCGAATCTGAGCGAATCCTCATTGGCAAAATATAGCGGAGCATTTTGAGTTTACGCCTCACGCCATGGCGCCTTCAATTTGGAAGATACATCACGGACATCCATCAAGTACGAATAGTTGTATCTCTGCGCCGTCGTCAACGCGCATCCTCTCCCTTGCTCTTTTTCCGTATTGTATCTCGTCCGTTTATCTTATTTGCAGTGCGAGTGCCGCTATAAGGGCTACTTGAGCAACACAGCCGCAGACAGGGATGCCTTTATAATGCGGCCGCGTTTTTTAACTTTTCTCCCGACACTCACTAGCAGCACAGCAGTGGCGTGGCGTGCTTTGCGTTCCATCGATATTTCCCCATTTGAAGGTTTGGTAAAGAATCGATTATTATGGTGTTAGCTGCGAACACCCTGTTTATCGGTACTTTTCCATAGGTTTAAATCGCCAATCAATCGATACATCGCAAAGCACGCCACGCCACTGCAGCATTGAACAGAACACTGCGAGTTCATGCCTCACTTCTCACGCCAACGCGCCTTAAATTTGTCACGTGTACTATGGATGTGGACATCCATCTAGCACGAATAGTTTTATCGTATCCAGATATATCTTATTTTTGAGATTTATCTTTTTTTATTTTTGATCTAATTTTATTTTTCTCTTATTTTCTTAAGTTTAGTTTGCTCAAAATATGCAATGGTATGTCCAAATAGCTGATCATTTCGAGAAAACGAGTCCCTTTGGGAAAACTAGGTATTTTTGACGTTTGGATGCGAAATTTTCAAATAACAATCTTGATGAATCGCATGGAATTCGAAACAAAAACAAAATGATCATTAATTTTTCAACCAAATGAAATGCAACAGAAAATCTGTAATATTACAAGCAGGCCCGCCACAAGGGGGGGGATACTGGGTCCTTGGTACCGGGGCCCGGGCCCTGGAGGGGCCCGTGACGCAGGTGACAAACCACTACGAATTCATGTGTAACCCTTGTCTCGTAGGGAAAAGTGAAAAAATTACCCTAAAAATTCCGCAAAAGGTGAATAAAGTTTCAAAAACACGCTAGGGCACTATAAAATTTTTCTTACTTTTTTAGATATTTTCAAGATTTTGAGTATATGTAGAATGATATTTTTAGTAACTGTGTTTCATTTTCTTCCGTTGTCGGATGCTAAGAGGCTCCTTTCTGGGCATCCTCGACTTCAATGGCTTAACTCCCTTGCCATAGACGTACGAAAGGGGAGTCCAGGGGAGCCCGGATCCCCATATTGAATTGAAAATTATCATCTGCCCCCTCAAAAAAAAAATTGTAGATGTTTTGAATGCAACAATTCGAAAGTTTTTGGTGCTGAAAGTAAACAAAAAGGCGTAATTATTCTGCAGAAATTGATGGAAAATCTCCATCATAAGAGCTTCATAATGCGTCCAAATAGATTTAAAATTTCAAAAAGTTTCCGGGGGAGGCCCCCCCCCCCCCCTGTGCTAGGGGCCCGGGCCAGAAAATTGGTACCAGGGCCCGAGATGGGATGTGGCGGGCCTGATTACAAGACTGAGTAAATGTATCTGATTTACTAGTCTAGATTTACTACCGCGTCGTTCACAACTTTTGCCTAACGATTCGTCCATTTCCCACTCGCTAATAGTGCCGCGTCTCGGAAAAACGATGTGTATCGATTTATTCTCATTTGTAGCATCGAAAGAGATTATATCATTGTTATTGTTTGGATCCAATTCGATATCTGGAGAATTCCTATGGTGACGTCATCACTAATAGCATCTACTCTGCCGTGCTAAGGAAGAACGCCGTATGAACATTCGAGAGTTGCCAAATTTCCTCAGGTAAAACATGTATGTTTGTGGAAAGTTTTTATATTTTTCTTAGAAATTTTCAGACGATTGAGATGAAATTGCGAACAAAATCGTCTAAAAAATTTAGAGAAAAATATTCAAAATTTTCTTAGTAAAGTCAGTTTGTTAGTGAAGGAAATCTGGCAACGCCTGAAGACTCATACCGCGTTTTTTCCTTAGCACGGCAGTATTGCTGTGGGACCTGGGTGCTTGGCGCACAGACACTGAAAAAAACTGCTCCTGGCCCGGGGCTGGGGGGGACCCCGCGTCTGGCGCTGCAAATCCTGTTTCGATCTTGATCCGCGATCCAAGATCGCGAACCGCGTTCTTTCGCCGCTCGACAAGTTCAGTTGTCGCTCCGCGTCCATCCTCGACTTGTTCGTCTTCGTGTCCATCCTCGGCCTAAGGTACTAACCCTCTTCTCCGTGACCCAGACCCCATGCGTGAAGTGTATGTGATGTTCCAATTATTTGGGACACAATTTCAGCGTCCCCCTTTGGGATCCGAGAGTGCATCAGTACAATTCGTGCCCTTTATTCTGGAGGGAATTGCGGGGCATTTGGTTTCACCCGAATGAATGGAACGTCATTCTAAGGAAGATGTGCCGCTACCTAATTATCTGAAAATTTAGGCCTGGTTGAAGCTTGTTCAGCCCTGGAGGTTTAGATAAGGCAAAAAAAAAATAAAAAAAAAAATTAAGGAAAAAAAGGAAAATAGCATTGATCTTCCCTCCAAATAATATCTCCCTTTTCGGTGACTCAGGCCCTAGCGTGAAGTGTGAGATGCTCCAATTATTTGGGATAGAGTTTCGGTGGCCCTCTCCTGGGATACAAAAGTGCATCATTATAGATTTTTCCTCTTTACATCAAGGGAAATTGCCCGGGAGATTTGATCTGAATGTCGTTCAGAGCTCTAATTTCTTGGAAGATGTGACGCTAGCTAACTGAAAATTTAAGACTATGTAAAGCCATCTTTGAGATTCTCGATTAGGTTATAAAAAAGCATTAGACACCCTCCCCCCTCCCCAAAAAATCCCCCGAAAAATATCGATCATCTTCTAAAGAATTACCTGTTTCCTCTCCCGGTGACTTAGACCCCCTTCGTGAAGTGTGATGTTCAAATTATCTGGGACAGAATGACAATGTCCCTTTCCAGGGATAATGTGAGTGCATCAGTACAAATTCTTCCCCTTTACTTGGGAAAGATTCTGTAAAAACAAATGAATGAACAAATGAATGAAATTTAACTCTAATCTCTGCTTTTGAGGAAAATATGTCGCTGAAATTTAATTTCGGATTAAATTTAAGGGAATTTAATTCTGGTTCAGTTTTAAGGTTGCTGATTTGGTTGAAAAAAGGATTTAAAATAGAGAAGGAAAAATTTAAAACATTGATGACGACTGAGCTCATTTTTATCAGAAATTTTGTCGGAAACTATTGATAAAATTGTCCAAGCAATTAAGGTTGTCCAGAGGTGGGAAAAATTTCAAACGTAAGTCGCGGGCAACTCTCGTGATTTAATCTTGCCTTTGACAGTGTCATGCAAAAATGATACGTGTTTTATTTTGAACAGGAGAAACGATCAAATAGAACATGACGTAAGCCTAACCTGCGTCTAAAAACGATTACTCAAGGGAAAAATTTACGATAGCTTCTGTTTGTTTCACCATCCGTGAGCTATGTTTTGTGAGATTCACGTTGAATGCAGGACTAGCAATAGAGCTGCTGGACCTATTAGGGATGTTTGAGTATTAAGTGAATTCAAATAAATCACGTTACTCCAGACATATTCTTGGTAGAAGTGGTGACAGTTTCCCCTTTCTGTTCGTGTGAGTGGAGAAGCAGACTCATAATGACGCCGAGAACGATAAACAAATAGTAGAAGATAATAAAATGGTCGAGAGAGTTCAACGATGACATTCTCAAGTTTTATAGAGGAAGTCATTGAACTGACAGTAAGCTCGGTTGAAGCCAAGGTGCGAATTTATTCTCTTTGAAATCGGGATTTTTTATTGTTCTTCTTGTTTATTTTCAATGTCAGCAATTTGATCCAGAATCCGGTTAAAATGTGGTCATGGCGTCAAATATGAGACGCAAACTTGCACTTGAGCGCACTCGTACTCAAGTAGCACTGATCGCGATAGGTTGCGATTTGATCAGAGAATGTATCGCGATTTGATCGACGAATGTACCGCGATTTGATCGACATCGATCTCCTGCAATATTGTTGGATGGACTATTGCAATAAATTGCGATTTCATGGCATCAATTTGCAATATAATCGCGATTTTAGCGAAGGCTCTTTATTACAATAGGTTTTATCGATCAAAAAATCGTGATGAATTGAGATAAAATTCCGATTTTCTTGAACGTGATTTTATAGAGACAAAATCGCAACAAGATTGAGGATAACCGCTCAGATGTTGACGATCCTAGCGATTTCATCCCCAAAAAATCGTAAAAAAAATGGCAGCTTAATTTAAAAACATCGCAATTTTTGAACTGAAAAATGTTTCTTGTGTATTCACATCGCTAAATAACGACAGTCTTATCTCAAGCACGACACTTGATTCCGTTTGAAATATGAATTTATCCCAACCATTTGGACTGCATTTTCGAATTAGCAACTACTGTTTCTGATTCATCTATAAAATAACGTACATATATCTGAAGTGGGAAACTAGTGACACGTATGTTATTCCTAAAATGAGCACGAAGTATTAGTTCCTAATTGAAAAATGAAATCCACCCATACAAAATTAAAGTGCAGTTCAGCGTAGGCAATGACGTTTTCTGTATTTACTTTTTGAAGCACGGTTTTCCAAAGAAAATTCGCGAGTGCTTTAGGTATTTGAGGATTTTATTCAGAGACTGAGAATCAAAATGAGCAAGGTTAAGTCAGACTCAATATACGGGGAGCATGCTTTGAAAACATCTTGAACCACAAATTCTTAAATATTTAACCATTGCTTCAAGGAAAATACTTTCTTGCCTACCTCAAAAATTGAAGGCAAGATAGCAGTGTGCGTAGATAACCATTATACCCTTCCCGCGTCAATTTCACCTCCTCAATATTTTTAGTCGGAAATCGTAGGAAAATTGTGGGGAAAAAGTCCAGCTATATGGCCGAAAAACCTACATTTTCCGACCTTTTTTAAAGTCCCTGACCTAAAAATGAGATCAAGTCTTCTTGAAGGTCCCGTCAAGATTTACATTCTTACAACACCCGCTCGCTACCATCCCCACTCTTCATAAACGTTTTAACAACAGCGTTTTATTTGTCAACTCTTGAAGTAAATTAAGGCGGTGAAATAATGAACAAACAATAGGAACTAAGTTTGAATAATTCAACATGATTTTCCTTTCTCCCATTTATCAGCATCGCCCGGCGTAGCACGAAAGAGGAGCAAAAATACTGTAAATTTTACATCATCAAACCTCACACATTCTGCAATAAAAATTAATTCTGCAATGATAACTGACCCATAAGACGGATCCGGTTCCGATATTTTTCGGATTTCTATTGATTTCTCTCCATTTTGGGGCCCGCATTTCCCTCGGCAAATACAATTCCCTCGGCATTTCCCTTTAACGGAATTAGTTTATGGGTTTACGGGTTTCATTTCAATTTTAGTTTGTTGTTTCGTTGATTAGGTAGATAAAGTTGGTGGTTTTTTACGGGGACTGTGATGTGCAACATTGGACTAACAATTCACAGGTAAGAAATTCTTCGTATTATAGTTTAAGTTTAAATTATTAAGGCTTACATCGACGGTGACATTGCAAAAACGGCTGTCTCGTCTCCGGTGTTTCAAAATCCTCACTTCCTCTTTATTTTAGAAATCGAGAACGAACACCTTCAAATTTTTACAGAATTGTTTTCATACAGAGTAGACAAATTAGGGATGTTTAATTTCAAGAAATACATAACTTTGAGTATTTTGCGGCGCCACTTAGAAAATGAATTACGTATGACAGAAAGTCTGCAGCGTTGCACAGATGCGCGTTTTTGCAGTTTCAGCGTCGATATGTGTAAACATGTTTCTAATTGTAAATAAGAAGTCTGTTATTATTTATGTTTTAACCTGCATGGAAAAAATGGATCGCTGATTGAACAATTGAATTTTTATAAAATATGTCCGATATGGTTCAAATGTGCATTTCACAAAAAAGGAAAGCGAATTTAACCACGGGGGTGGTTAAATTAGAATTTGTTTATTGTAAAATCTACATTGAAACATGTCGGACATTTTTTTTTTAAACTTCATTATTTAATCAGCAATTAAATTTTTTACCGTGTAACGGCTGGCGAAGCTCATGATTGAGTCCCCAGTCTAGAAGGAGTGATGATTTTAACCATTTAAGTGGTCTTCATTTTTTAATCTTTATCACTGACGCATCAAAGAATATTTCCGGTTATGCCCCAATTAAAATCTAATTTAGCGTAAAGTGGAAAGTTTTTGTAGGCATAGTTTTGATAAGAGGATCCCTCCACGATATTTTTACTCGTTTAAATCCACCTGGTTT